GTGATTCAGAGTCGTACCAGGGCCTTCAGGTTCACAGCAGAGATTGCCTCTCGTGGTGATCGGAGTGGCAGATGCTGTTCCATGAATGAACCGCCCTGCGGATCACCCCTGCCATCTGTTGGGAGCTGTACCGGAATAATGTTCGAGAGATAACTGCGGAGCTACACAAGATCACAGGTTAGTCTTTGGTGAGGCAGTGTGGTGTGTAGATGTTTGGTTTGTATGGAGCGGGGGTTTCGGACACGTAAACGTGTAAGTGGGTAGCTGATGATCTTAGTACTTTTAGTTTTGGAGAGTTGACGTATCTGAGAATGTTCTTCATCAAGTAAAAACAACCCGATATGTGTGCTCGGTCGTCATCAGCTTGTTCTAATGCTCGGATCTATTCACAGGGAATGTGACCATTCAGCCGACACCTGGCTCCTCCAGTACCAGCGGGATGGCGCAGGTGGGTCCGTCAGCAGCGAAGAGGGCGAAGAGAGCTAATGTTGCAGAAGCTGCTAAGCCCACGACAGCTCTTCATCGGCAGAATATGATTACCCGGTAGCAGGTCGTCCTGCTGGGCGGCAGCAACAACCCACCGGTGGTGACGGCCAGCTAAGCAGCAGCGACAACCCAGCGGCGGACGGCCGGCTGGACAGCAGCGACATCCCACCGGCGGTGACGGCCGGCTGGGCAGCAGCGACAACCCACCGGCGGTGACGGCCAGCTAGGCAGCAGCGACAACCCACCGGCGGTGACGGCCAGCTGAGCAGCAGCGACATCCCACCGGCGGTGACGGCCAGCTAGGCAGCAGCGACAACCCAGCGGCGGTGACGGCCGGCTGGGCAGCAGCGACAACCCACCGGCGGTGACGGCCAGCTGAGCAGCAGCGACATCCCACCGGCGGTGACGGCCAGCTGAGCAGCAGCGACAACCCACCGGCGGTGACGGCCAGCTGGGCAGCAGCGACATCCCACCGGCGGTGACGGCCGGCTGGGCAGCAGCGACAGGGACAGCACGCCGATAACTCCACCGAGCTGGAGCCAGAACAGCCAACGACTGAGGAGCCAGCCGCCCTTTCACGGCCAGCGACTCATCTCCGCCCAGACGCTCCCGTTCGAGCCTTACAGTGCATCAGAATGCCGTGAGATGGCTGTGACCTATAGCGTTGTCCTTGCGCACTATGAAGCTGTCGGTCTCAGGGCGTTGTGGTTCGTTTACCTATGTCCACATTTCGCTGAAGAGCAGTTACGCTATTTTGGTCGAGATGCTCCAGTTCTGACCTATTCAGACATTGGTGACGACTCTCGCGTTCTTGCCACGACTTAGCTGTTTTCATTTTTGGGTAAGGTAGGATTTTTAGCCATCTACACGCCTATGTACTGACTTAGCTATTGTGGGCGCAAAATGAGCTAACTGGTCGGCGCGCTCTAAAACCCCAATCAACAAGGGCGTCGTGCTGAGCGTGTGGGCTTTTGTAGCCCAGTCGCAATTACCAGTTGTTATTTCAATACAGTAACACTGAGCAGATGTGTTACGAGTGTTTACACCCGACCTTAATCGTTCGGCTGTTCGAACTAAGCCACCTGGCATTCATCCATTTAATGCTAATAAACGTCAAGAAAGCATGAAGCGTTGTGTAGGCAAGGAAGCAGGATATCGAAAAAAACATGACGTGGCTGAGACACCGAACTCGCCAACCAAACCTCTGCATGACGCACAAGGGTGTCGTTTCGCCAAATAAATGCGGGAGGAAGGAGGGGACTGAGCTGAAAAAATGCCTCAGCCCGCCTCAACGTACCAACACGGCCTCGCTCCCCGCACTTGAAGCACTTTCCTCTCGAAATTGGACTGGGCCCCGAACTGAAAAGGAAACTACACGTGATGGCATACCAAAACACATACAACCGTCTTCCAAATGGGAAGCGAGGAAGGCTAGTGTCTCGGGGGTTCGCGGTGTTATGCACACCTTTTCTCCAGACGCTAAATTTTTGGAATGCTATGCCGACGCTATGAAGCGGAGGAGGCGTTATTTTTCGCCAGTGCCCCTTCGTTGACTGATTGGACGTGACCCCCGTCGTGAAATCGCAAATATACTCGCATTTTTGGTACACATTGAGTTCGCTATCATTTATACTCAGCCCACAGTATAAAAACCGCAGTGTAGTAATAGCCGACAGGACATACATAACCTGACGACTCACCTAGATGGTTGTTTTCGCGTGGCTGCAACATGGTCTCGACGCCTACACGCCCTCAAACCCCAAACCATCACTAAGGAGTCGCATCAGTAATGAACCGAATCCAGATTTTAACGTTCACGTGCTCACCATAACAACTGTCAACAGATTCGCGATCTTGGCGTCTTTCGGGACACCAAACTCACCTTTGCCAATCACATAGATAAGACCGTCTCAAAAGCAAACAGGATGCTGGACCTTCTCATGCAAAGCGTGCAAATGCCGTCGTGCCCTCGTCAGGCATGGTTCAATCACAAGGCTTTGCTTTGTGCCTCTAACACTTATGTGAGGTCATTGATAGAGTACGGTTGCGTTATTTGGAGCGGTGCTGCCGTTTCCCCATCTCGCCCGGCTCGAAATACAACACCGGTTTTTTCCTGTAGTTGGGCTCGAGCAGCCAGTCCCGGTGTCCTCCACTGGATTATGAGCATCTTCTCGTTTTCTTCAAAACAGCATCTATCAAGGCACGCTTTGCTCAGTCCGACATCCTATTTCTATACAACGTATATGATCGCAGGCTCGACTACGTTCGCCTGAGACCACTGTTCGGTATGGCTACACCCGTCCGGCGTTCTTGGCGTGTCGGCATTTTCCACGTGCCATTTGCAAGGGCCGACACTCTTAAAAATATATGTGTCGCACGACTTCCAACTGTCTGCAACCAATTTTGCAGCATTCTCCCTCAACTGACTTTTCTCATCCAATAAAATAATTCCGATATGACTTGTTTCGGTTCGCCGACGCACGTGGAACATTCTCTTGACAACTCGATTTGCGACTGTGTGTAGTGTGTAAGTGCGGTGTGTGTGTGTGTTTGGTCAGGTTTTTTGTTTGGGCGTGTATCGTATATTTGTTGTTCTTAAAACTCGACCGCTTCCGTAATTTGGCTTTTGCCTGTGGAATGCTTATGTCCTAAATGAACAAATAAACAAATAAACAATGTCGGGTATAGACACGTTGGCGGTGCTGAAGCGACGCCAACAGCGCCAGTTTTGCGCGCCGCGAAGCAAGAGAAACCACCTGTCTGTAAAAATGTCAACATCGATACTGACACGTGGTTTGTGCAGTTTCCGGGTAATGCATTGCAGACGGGAAGCCCTGTGGCTTCCCCAGCAACCGTTGACGAGCGGGGATGACGGCGAGGGCAGGGGCGATCCAAACCAGCGACGATAACATCGAACCACGCATGTATTGTCTACCGTGCACCACATAGAGACAGCACAGCATCTATTGGACCGGCTTTCGCGCCACCGACCAGCCACACCTGCGCCGTTGTGACGTCACACGACTGACGTCACAGGAGTCACACCGTAACACGGCGCGGCGCGCGGCTTGACGCCCCGCTGAAGCCACAGCGGCGCCCGACAGCTGGCGCAGGCGCGCAGTGCAGCCACTGGAGGCGTGCAGCGAGTGGAAATAACCACGGGCTGGGGCAAACTCAAAACACAGCAGTGCGCGTCCCGTGAGACAGTGGGGCCGGCGGGCAGCGCTGACGGCACCCGAAACAAATTAAAGCTCGAGTTCAGGCTCTGCTCCACACCAGCGGCGCGTTATTTCGGAAGCGGTAGCGCGCTGCTATCGCCAAATTCATTTTTGCTCCACCGCGCCATACAAACCGAACATCAGACCGACGGCGGCCAGCTGCGCCCGTACTGCCGCAGAGAATCGTCCAAACGCGACCTGGCATCAAGTGTTCGACGCGGAGTTCATATTTCCGAGCGCTAAACGTGGTGGACATCTTACGTAAATACCGTCTCCAGACCAGCCCGCTCAAGATCACAGATACGAACTGAAAATCGTGCTCGCATTAAGTAGGATGTACCATTATCAAGCCGACCCAAAAGACAGTGCGGAAGCAAGCATAAAATACATAATACGAAACACGGGCATCAGTGTAAATACAGCGGTTACCAACGGAGACCGCATCATAAAAGTACAAAACCGCGGACAATGAATAAATGCGGCGTTAAATAATACTACATTTTCTCATTATACCACCATAACTGTCACGTACTCACGGCGGGCCGTGTGCCTCAAACTCCTCGCAGCGCCGCGCGGTGCCAGCCCAGCAAGCGGCCGACGGGCCGACACCAACACCGACCCCACAGCTGGCTACCAGACAGCGCAGCTGGCCGACCCGCCGCACCCTTGCCGTGAGACAGAACCCGGCGGAGCGCCCCCCCCCCCCCCCCTCTGCCGGCCGGCACGTCCCGTGTCACGCGCTGGCCGGTCGACCGACGGGGCGGGTGCCGCGCCGCCAGAGGACTCGCCGGCGCTGGGGCGGAGCGCGCGCCGCGCCACCCAGTCCCGCAACACACGCACACGCACAAACGCGGCTCCGGGACGGCGGGAATGTGACTGAAAGCGGGGAGTCGGCCGGCGGCCGGGCTGGCGGACAACACGCACTACAAGCTGGCCCAGCGCCGCCCGACTGACTGACCCTGACTACTGGCGGCTGGGCCGGGCTGAACGCCCACACTTTGTTCGGGGCTCACACGTGGCGCTGGAATGCGGCGACAAAACCGCACTTCTCGCACGCAGACTAGACGCAAAGCTACGAGGGCGGCCTTCTTCGGCGAAGGCTCTTGACCAGCTGCCGACCAACCGCCGCCGGATCGCGCGCGCGCGAAGCGCCCGTCGTCATGACGACCGAGCGGATGTCCTGGGATTGGCTGAGCTGGGTAATGTCCGGGGCTTCAACCCGGCCGTTCAAAGCTACACTAGCTGGCGGGTGCCCAGGCCGGGGCCGGGGCCGATGCGCGGTGGCCGGCGGCGGCGGCGGCAGCGGCGGCTACTGGCGTCGCAAGAGATCGAAGCAGCGCTGGCACACGCGCACCGGCTTCAGGATCCTCAGACGAAGGATCTCCGATTCGTGGTGGCTGCATCTGAGGCGGAGGTCGCACCGAGATCACCAAGAGGTCACACCGGGGTCAGCCACGGCTCACCACGACGCCGGCTGGGCGTCCCACGCGGAGCTAACGGGACCGGTCCGGCGTGAGCACAGGTCGCGCGGGGGCCAACAGAGGTCAAATCATATCGAACCATCTCCAGACACACAGAGGTGAGCAGAATACACTACGGGCACCCAGGAGTTAGTCACCGGCCACGCAGACATTACTGAAGAAGCCCAAAGTAAGTCACAGAGTACAAGCGCCTCATCGACGGTCGTGGCGACAACCACCCAGCAGCAGTTGGGACACGGGTCTGCGTGGGGCGCGCGGACGTGGTTGGCATAGGCCAGCTGACGCGGCAGCCCGACTCATCACAGAGCGGAGCGGCAGCCGGCTCTGGGGCGGCGCCGGGGCAGCGGCACCACCCACCCGCGGACACGACAGCGGCGCGCCACCGCAACAGAGCCCACCAAGCCATGCAAGGGCACAGTCATGCCACCCATCAGTCCTGCCGCCCGCGGCAGCCGAGTGGCGGCGCATCCGTGCCTATCATCACCAGCGCGGGTGGGGAGGGTCGGAGCGCCTGGGGGCCAGGCTGAACGGCATCAACAGGCATGTGATGACAATGTGCCGGTTGCCGTCATGACTGGTGTGTGGGCTGTCACACCAGCCATGCCATGCCCTCCATCGACATCATCCCATTTTTGGTGTCCAGCTTTTGCACTTGAAAATCGCTTAACACTGTCGCGCGAGCCCTGTCATTTTGAGTATCGTTTTGAACGAGGTTATGTACCAAAACGCGTTGAACGAAGGTGCTTAGCGCGCTTCACGAAACACATCTATAATGTAACGAATGAGAGAGGGCTCAGCTTCAGCTTCAGCTTCAGCCTCAGCTTCAGGTCCACCCCTACCTCCCAATACGAGTGTTCTGGCGCCGCCCCCAGGACTCCGTCCCCTCCCGCGTGGCGGAAGGAAGAGGCGATGTGCGAGATGCATCAACAGCGGTAGCAGCGGCAGCGCAGCAGCGGTAGCGGCCTACCTAGCGCAGAAGACGTCTCCGCAGTTGCGACAGTGATGCTTCCGCTCGGTCACAGTGAACTTGACCCGGCAGAGTTGACAGGAGAGCACAGAGTCGTCCCGCCGCCAATGGTCAGAGGGACCTGCCAGTGGCCACAGGGACCCGTCACTATTGGTCGGAGGGACCCGTCAGTGGTCATGGGGACCCGTCAGTGGTCACAGCGACCCGTCAGTGGTCGCAGGGACCCGTCAGTGGTCACAGGGACCCGCAACTACTAGGACACTTCTTGTGACTACTCCAAGTTTTCACCAGAACACGTTACTATGGGTCAGATTGGCACACTTTTGGTCAAAGGGCATTGTGCCGTTACTGCCGACCAGATCAAGCCATTGGCATTTGTTCCGGCCCGCCTGTGTTGGGCCGAGGGACCCACTGCAACTGCTCAGTGGGATCAGGTCCGCGCTCTTTGCCTACAGGAATGAGAGGGAACACAGCTACCGTTGGTCAGACAGATCTGCCACCACTGCTCAGAGAGATCCTTCACGGCTGACCAGAGATCCGTCACGACTGGTCAGAGATCCGTCACGACCTATCATAGAGTTCCGTCACGTCTAGTCAGAGAAATCCGTCACGTCTAGTCAGAAAGATCCGTCACGACTAGTCAGAGATCCGTCACGTCTAGTCGGAGAGATCCGTCACGACTGATCAGAGATCCGTCACGACTGGTCAGAGAGACCCGTCAGGACCGCTCAGAGATCCGTCAGGACTGGTCAGAGACCCGTCACGACCGCTCAGAGATCCGTCAGGACTGGTCAGAGACCCGTCACGACCGCTCAGAGATCCGTCAGGACTGGTCAGAGATCCGTCACGACCGCTCAGAGGGAGCCTCACTCCCGACCACGGCCCGTCAGCAGTCTGTTCGTCTGCCCAGCGTCAGCCGCCGTCGCCGCGAGAGCACCAGCCAGACGCCAACGTCGTGCGGAGTCCCCGCTGCCCGCCGCCCGGTAGGCGACAGGGGAAAACCGCCAGCACAAGCGAACGGCGACCGACAAACCAAACCAGAACGCGCACTACAGCAAGCGGGATCACCAAGACCAAAACCACTGAGCGCAACCAAGTCGACAACGAGGCAGGGGCACAGTCAGATCCGAGCAACGGAAGATGAAACAGCGACCGGCGACAACAGTCACGTGCCACGAGGTACCGAAGCCACGCTCGGGAGCGGGAGGAGGCCTACCTGCGGCGTCCGAGACGCTCCACGCCCAGACGCGACCGCGGGAGTCGCCGACGTACACCGTCCGGTGGTCCCTGCAGGTGGTCAGATGCGGGGGTCAGAGGCGTAGGTCATGCGCACGGGTCAGAGGCATAGGTCAGAGGCATAGGTCAGAGGCACAGGCCAGAGGACAGCAGACGCGTCCTTAAAATCCAACCGCTAAGTCAGAGGCACGGGTCAGAAGCATAGGTCAGAGACATGCGTTAGAGGGATGAGTCGGAGGCACGTGTCAGACGCACAGGACAGAGACACAGGGCAGAACCACGGGTCGGGGGCATGTGCTAGAAGGATAAGCCATATGCACGGGTCAGAGCAACAGATCAAAGGGTCACAGGTCAGAGACACAGATCACAGGGTCACAGGACAGAGACACAGGTCAGAGGCACGGGTCAGAGGGTCATAGGTCAGAGACAGGTCAGAGACGTGGGTCAGAGGGTCGAAGAAAGCTCAGCACAGGGCCGGACCCGCCTGTCATAGCCCGGCACAGGCGCCGCATCGCAGCACAGGAGGGCTGGAGATTAACACACCAGCGGCACTCTGACCGGGAAACCGAACACAGCCAAGTCTGCACGATATCACCGGCGTCAACCCGACAATCCCTTTATCCAAACCACCCACGGCGCTCGCCAGGCCAGCGACGTGCGGCGCCAGAGTTTGCCACCCGGTCCGGACGTCCCAAACTCGGCGGTCCACCCCGGGCGCGCCCCGCTCGCCGCCGGCGCTGGGCGCAGCGGAGGGCCGACTCACTTGGAGACGGCCAGGGCGGTGACGCTGGCCGGCTCAGCGTTGTCCCTCCGGTCGTAGGCCGTGTGCATGGTCAGCTTGCTCCGGAACACCAGCTGGCACTGCCAGCGGAAGCCTGCCCGTGCGCGCGCACGGGGGCGCAGCGTCAGTGGACGACTCGGCGCCGCCGCCGACGCGGCAGGCGGCCACAAAGGACACGCAGCCGCCCGCCAACACGCCAGCCACCTGATCGGGCCGCCAGTGGGCGCCCAGCGAGCTGCAGCGAGCACAGAACACGGACGACGAGCTGTCGACTTGCCTTGGCCCCTACGAGGCAGCAGTTGTGTTTGGGTACCTGCCTGTTATGTCGTCGTATCTACTATGATATGCATTGTGTGTCTATTACATGAGCGCAAATGTCCAAGGCGACTGACGCGCCCTAAAACCATAAACCTGTGTCTAATAAAGTCACAATCTACATGCACAGCTTGACGGTACCTGGCGGCGGACAAGATCACCACCTGCGGCGGCGCCTCGGCCAACGACGTCCCGTGGCCGACGGGCGTCACAGCTCACAATCACAGCTGCCGCCTGTCCGTCTGGCCCACCTCTCACCGTCCCTGAGTCTGGCCCGCCTCTCACCGTCCCTGAGTCCGGCCCGCCTCTCATCGTCCCTGAGTCCGGCCCGCCTCTCATCGTCCCTGAGTCTGGCCCGCTTCTCACCGTCCCTGAGTCTGGCCCGCCTCTCACCGTCCCTGAGTCTGGCCCGCCTCTCACCGTCCCTGAGTCTGGCCCGCCTCTCACCGTCCCTGAGTCTGGCCCGCCTCTCACCGTCCCTGAGTCTGGCCCGCCTCTCACCGTCCCTGAGTCTGGCCCGCCCCTCACCGTCCCTGAGTCTGGCCCGCCTCTCACCGTCCCTGAGCAGCGGACGCCGGTCGCTGGCCGAATCCACGTCGGCGTCCGTCACCAGCACGAAGCCGGCCTCCTCGACGGCCAGGTCCGTGTCACTGCGGCTGCTGCGCAGCTCGGTGGCGGCCGGCGCCGGCAGCGGCAGCGCGCCCTCGCCGGCCGAGCGGCGCGGCCCCTGGCGGCTACGCTCGCCCTTCTGGCGGCGCAGCACCTGCGGCACGTGCCCGGCCGCTCAGACGACGGGCACTGAGTCGGCCGCGGGTGTCCGGCGGGGCGGACACTGGCGCCTTGTGGCAGCAAGGTATGTAACTTTTTAGAGGATTCTTCGCACGCTGTCGACTTTGGTAAAGTGCTCCAGTTTCTTAGCGCTGTAGATTTCCCAGCAATCTTTTCATCATGATACTCGGCCTAATCATCAAGGCTTTATAGGGTGACTTGATTGATGCACTTGCCTGATTGGCGGCTCTGCATAAACTGATAGTCATGGGCGCTGCATGACCTACAGCAGTCGACGCGCCTTAAAGCCCCAAATCATCATCATCATCGCAGCAAGGCGCCGTCCGCAGATTGGGCGTGCACTTGGCGAACTCTACAGTACACGAACTCACACGTTTTACTCAGTACACTTCAGCTCCCTCCACGTCCTGTTCACTTCCCTGTCAGGATCACGAACCGAACCCACACCACGCATACCTCACACTTCAGGGACTCCAGGATCACACTGCGCGAACAGGTTAGCAAGGTGAACGAACGACACCACAGTGACCATCGACGCCACCCGCTGCACCGTCTGACGTCATCCATGACGTCAGCATGGCCAGCAGCACTAACCGCCTGCTCGGTGGCCGTCTCCAGGCTGTGGGCCGCCTTCAGCGGGGCGGACCCGACCGGCTCCTGGGCGGTGGCGGTGGCGGCGGCGGTGGCGTCGGCCGCCGGCGGACCGTCCGCCTCCTCACACGAGCTGACGCTGGCCAGCGCCTCCAGCGCCGCGCCCAGCTGCGTCTGCCAACACACGCCGCCAGAGGGCGCTCACACCGGGACGCGGCTGTGCCGGAGACGGCCCGGCGCAGATGCGCGTGGGCGAGGCACCAGCTCACACCCACCTGGGAGAGTACTCTGTCCACGTGGTGTAGAGCAGGCTCACACAGGCGGCAGAGCACAACACACGTGAGCCGATATGAGGCCAAGCGTCCGCGCTTATGTGGATCCAGAAGCGGTACAGCAAGAGTACAGCGCTCACTCATGTAAGGGCGTGATAGCCACGAGAGATAAAACCCAGGCCACGCGTGGGTGGTTGGGGCGGCGACATGCGGCAGCGCATGGGGTAATACTTAGACCGCACATGATCAGACGTGGAAGAACAAGCCACACGGGGGATACAGGGGCAGCACGCGAACAGGAACAAGAGCAGCACGCGGAGCAGTGCAGGAATCACTCATGGAAGGGCACAGCAGCGTGGGAGGGTGCGGAGACCATATCCGCTTCCATGCGCAGGGATTCAGCAATACGGTAGAGCGTGTGCCCATGTACTTGCGTGTCCGTGTGCGTGTGTAACTACCGCGGAAGAGCACGGCAGTGTGGGAGGGTGTCGAGACCATATCCGCTTCCATGCACAGGGATTCAGCCATGCAGTGGAGCGTGTGTCCATGTACTTATGTGTCCGTGTGCGTGTGTACCCGCGTGCGTGTGTGACCGTGTCCGTGTTCGTGTGCGTGCGTCCGTGTGCGTGTGTACCCGCGTGCGTGTGTGACCGTGTCCGTGTCCGTGTCAGTGTCCGTGTCCGTGTCCGTGTCCGTGTGCGTGCGTCCCCAGACGGGGCCGTACCGCGTGATGCCCGCCGCCGGCGGTGACGGCCTGCTGCCGCCGCAGCACCGACGGCCGACGGGAGCCGGCCCGGCCCGCCGCCGCCGCCGACTCGTCCGTCTCCTCGCCGTCGCCGCCGTCCGACAGGCTGCTCTCCGAGCCCGACCGCAGCAGCACTGAAAACACGCGCCACACAGGCCAGGTCAGGTCAGGTCAGGTCAGGCCCCCAGACGGGACGCAGCAGCGCGATCAACCCACGACCGTCCGATGACATGTGGGCATCATGACATGCGGCCATCGTGTCGTGTCATTGGTCGAATGACGACCCATGACACGACATGCCATGGCATGGCATGGCATGTCATGGCCAAGGTCCAGGTCAAGCCATGGCATGTCACGTTAGGTCACACCACACTGTCTCTGAGCGGCTGAGCTATAGAGCCGATGCCACACCCACTCAGGCCCGCTCATGTCCTGCACAGCCGCACCACAGCGCCAGCGGCAGCAGCGCCCGCCCCGGCTCGAGGCCGACGCCGCCCCAGCCAGCCGCAGGCACCGATGGTGGTCTCGGAGGGAGGTCACACGGACCCGCCCGCAGCTGAGGCGGCGGGTCACCTCACACGTGAGCGAGGCTCGAGCGGAGGCGGCGGCGGCCTCGCCCTGGCGGCCCGCTTCCGCACGGGTCTGTCGTGCCACCGACTGAGGCGGCCGGCGGCCCGCGTCACACACTGAGACACTGAGAGAACGCTCTCGTCCCCGGGCTGACCGCGCCGCGCGAGGAAACATTGTAGCGGTGCAAGGTCAACACCCAAACGAGTGAAGTCACCGACAGGTGGCGCCAATGAGCGTTGTCGTTGTGGTGGCGCCAACGCTCGCGCTGAGGAGAGCACAGCTACCAGCCCCCGGGGTTGGCACTGGCATCCGCAGCGGCGCACACAGACCGCGCCACCAGCAGCGAGGCCGCCGCGCCGACTGACCCTGGGGCGAGAGCTCGCCGCTGACTAGCGACATCTTGCGGACGATCTCGTCGGCCTTGGAGGAGCGCCGCTGGCCCTGCGTCACGCGCAGATGCCCGCTGGCCGACAGGTCGGAGTCGGTGTCCGGGCTGCTGGAGGAGCTCGCCACGGGCACCTGCACGTAGTCCAGCGACCACATCTGGCGGCGGCGGCGGGGCGACGCGTCATCACACCGGGCCGACGGCGCGGCGCGCGAGCCGGGCTCACCGCAGGGGGAACGCGCCACGCTGGCGGATCAAACATGCCAACACACGACACGGCGGAATGGCGGGACGAGCGGCACGCCACGGAGGTGACGCGCGCAGCGAGGGATGAACAACACGCCACGGAGGTGACGCGCGCAGCGAGGGATGAACAACACGCCACGGAGGTGACGCGCGCAGCGATGGATGAACAACACGCCACATGAGGTGACGCGCACAGCGAGGGATGAACAACACGCCACATGAGGTGACGCGCACAGCGAGGGACGAACAGCACGCCACATGAGGTGACGCACACAGCGAGGGATGAACAACACGCCACATGAGGTGACGCGAACAGCAAGGGATGAACAACACGCCACATGAGGTGACGCGAACAGCAAGGGATGAACAACACGCCACGTGAGGTGACGCGCACAGCGAGGGATGAACAACACGCCACATGAGGTGACGCGAACAGCGAGGGACGAACAGCACGCCACATGAGGTGACGCGCACAGCGAGGGACGAACAGCACGCCACATGAGGTGACGCGCGCAGCGAGGGATAAACAACACGCCACGGAGGTGACGCGCGCAGCGAGGGATGAACAACACGCCACGGAGGTGACGCGCGCAGCGATGGATGAACAACACGCCACATGAGGTGACGCGCACAGCGAGGGATGAACAACACGCCACATGAGGTGACGCGCACAGCGAGGGACGAACAGCACGCCACATGAGGTGACGCACACAGCGAGGGATGAACAACACGCCACATGAGGTGACGCGAACAGCAAGGGATGAACAACACGCCACATGAGGTGACGCGAACAGCAAGGGATGAACAACACGCCACGTGAGGTGACGCGCACAGCGAGGGATGAACAACACGCCACATGAGGTGACGCGAACAGCGAGGGACGAACAACACGCCACATGAGGTGACGCGAACAGCGAGGGACGAACAGCACGCCACATGAGGTGACGCGCACAGCGAGGGATGAACAGCACGCCACATGAGGTGACGCGAACAGCGAGGGACGAACAACACGCCACATGAGGTGACGCGCACAGCGAGGGATGAACAACACGCCACATGAGGTGACGCACACAGCGAGGGACGAGCAGCACGCCACATGAGGTGACGCGAACAGCGAGGGACGAACAGCACGCCACATGAGGTGACGCGAACAGCGAGGGATGAACAACACGCCACATGAGGTGACGCGAACAGCGAGGGATGAACAACACGCCACATGAGGTGACGCGAACAGCGAGGGACGAACAGCACGCCACATGAGGTGACGCGAACAGCAAGGGATGAACAACACGCCACATGAGGTGACGCACACAGCGAGGGACGAGCAGCACGCCACATGAGGTGACGCACACAGCGAGGGATGAACAACACGCCACATGAGGTGACGCACACAGCGAGGGACGAGCAGCACGCCACATGAGGTGACGCACACAGCGAGGGATGAACAACACGCCACATGAGGTGACGCGAACAGCGAGGGATGAACAACACGCCACATGAGGTGACGCGAACAGCGAGGGACGAACAGCACGCCACATGAGGTGACGCGAACAGCGAGGGATGAACAACACGCCACATGAGGTGACGCGAACAGCGAGGGATGAACAACACGCCACATGAGGTGACGCGAACAGCGAGGGACGAACAGCACTTCACATGAGGTGACGCACACAGCGAGGGATGAACAACACGCCACATGAGGTGACGCGAACAGCGAGGGATGAACAACACGCCACATGAGGTGACGCACACAGCGAGGGATGAACAACACGCCACATGAGGTGACGCGAACAGCGAGGGACGAACAGCACGCCACATGAGGTGACGCACACAGCGAGGGATGAACAACACGCCACATGAGGTGACGCGAACAGCGAGGGATGAACAACACGCCACATGAGGTGACGCGAACAGCGAGGGACGAACAGCACGCCACATGAGGTGACGCAAACAGCGAGGGATGAACAACACGCCACATGAGGTGACGCGAACAGCGAGGGATGAACAGCACGCCACATGAGGTGACGCGAACAGCGAGGGATGAACAACACGCCACATGAGGTGACGCACACAGCGAGGGACGAACAGCACGCCACATGAGGTGACGCGCGCAGCGATGGATGAACAACACGCCACATGAGGTGACGCACACAGCGAGGGATGAACAACACGGCACATGAGGTGACGTACACAGCAAGGGACGACCAGCACGCCACATGAGGTGACGCACACAGCGAGGGATGAACAACACGCCACATGAGGTGACGCGAACAGCGAGGGACGAACAGCACGCCACATGAGGTGACGCACACAGCGAGGGATGAACAACACGCCACATGAGGTGACGCGAACAGCGAGGGACGAACAGCACGCCACATGAGGTGACGCACACAGCGAGGGATGAACAACACGCCACATGAGGTGACGCGAACAGCGAGGGACGAACAGCAGCACGCCACATGAGGTGACGCACACAGCGAGGGATGAACAACACGCCACATGAGGTGACGCGAACAGCGAGGGACGAACAGCACGCCACATGAGGTGACGCACACAGCGAGGGATGAACAACACGCCACGGAGGTGACGCGAACAGCGAGGGACGAACAGCACGCCACATGAGGTGACGCACACAGCGAGGGATGAACAACACGCCACATGAGGTGACGCGAACAGCGAGGGACGAACAGCACGCCACATGAGGTGACGCACACAGCGAGGGATGAACAACACGCCACATGAGGTGACGCGAACAGCGAGGGACGAACAGCACGCCACATGAGGTGACGCACACAGCGAGGGATGAACAACACGCCACGGAGGTGACGCGAACAGCGAGGGACGAACAGCACGCCACATGAGGTGACGCACACAGCGAGGGATGAACAACACGCCACATGAGGTGACGCGAACAGCGAGGGACGAACAGCACGCCACATGAGGTGACGCACACAGCGAGGGATGAACAACACGCCACGGAGGTGACGCGAACAGCGAGGGACGAACAGCACGCCACATGAGGTGACGCGAACAGCGAGGGACGAACCAGCACGCCACATGAGGTGACGCACACAGCGAGGGATGAACAACACGCCACGGAGGTGACGCGAACAGCGAGGGACGAACAGCACGCCACATGAGGTGACGCACACAGCGAGGGATGAACACACGCCACGGAGGTGACGCGAACAGCGAGGGACGAACAGCACGCCACATGAGGTGACGCACACAGCGAGGGATGAACAGCACGCCACATGAGATGACGTATACAGCGAGGGACGAAACAGCACGCCGCATGAGGTGACGCACACAGTGACGGACAAACAGCACGCCACATGAGGTGACGCACACAGCGAGGGACGAACAGCACGCCACATGAGGTGACGCGCACAGCGAGGGATGAACAACACGCCACATGAGGTGACGCACACAGCGAGGGATGAACAACACGCCACATGAGGTGACGCACACAGCGAGGGACGAGCAGCACGCCACATGAGGTGACGCGAACAGCGAGGGACGAACAGCACGCCACATGAGGTGACGCGAACAGCGAGGGATGAACAACACGCCACATGAGGTGACGCGAACAGCGAGGGATGAACAACACGCCACATGAGGTGACGCGAACAGCGAGGGACGAACAGCACGCCACATGAGGTGACGCGAACAGCAAGGGATGAACAACACGCCACATGAGGTGACGCACACAGCGAGGGACGAGCAGCACGCCACATGAGGTGACGCACACAGCGAGGGATGAACAACACGCCACATGAGGTGACGCACACAGCGAGGGACGAGCAGCACGCCACATGAGGTTGACGCACACAGCGAGGGATGAACAACACGCCACATGAGGTGACGCGCACAGCGAGGGATGAACAACACGCCACATGAGGTGACGCGAACAGCGAGGGACGAACAGCACGCCACATGAGGTGACGCCAACAGCGAGGGATGAACAACACGCCACATGAGGTGACGCGAACAGCGAGGATGAACAACACGCCACATGAGGTGACGCGAAACAGCGAGGGACGAACAGCACTTCACATGAGGTGACGCACACAGCGAGGGATGAACAACACGCCACATGAGGTGACGCGAACAGCGAGGGATGAACAACACGCCACATGAGGTGACGCACACAGCGAGGGATGAACAACACGCCACATGAGGTGACGCGAACAGCGAGGGACGAACAGCACGCCACATGAGGTGACGCACACAGCGAGGGATGAACAACACGCCACATGAGGTGACGCGAACAGCGAGGGATGAACAACACGCCACATGAGGTGACGCGAACAGCGAGGGACGAACAGCACGCCACATGAGGTGACGCAAACAGCGAGGGATGAACAACACGCCACATGAGGTGACGCGAACAGCGAGGGATGAACAGCACGCCACATGAGGTGACGCGAACAGCGAGGGATGAACAACACGCCACATGAGGTGACGCACACAGCGAGGGACGAACAGCACGCCACATGAGGTGACGCGCGCAGCGATGATGAACAACACGCCACATGAGGTGACGCACACAGCGAGGGATGAACAACACGGCACATGAGGTGACGTACACAGCAAGGGACGACCAGCACGCCACATGAGGTGACGCACACAGCGAGGGATGAACAACACGCCACATGAGGTGACGCGAACAGCGAGGGACGAACAGCACGCCACATGAGGTGACGCACACAGCGAGGGATGAACAACACGCCACATGAGGTGACGCGAACAGCGAGGGACGAACAGCACGCCACATGAGGTGACGCACACAGCGAGGGATGAACAACACGCCACATGAGGTGACGCGAACAGCGAGGGACGAACAGCAGCACGCCACATGAGGTGACGCACACAGCGAGGGATGAACAACACGCCACATGAGGTGACGCGAACAGCGAGGGACGAACAGCACGCCACATGAGGTGACGCACACAGCGAGGGATGAACAACACGCCACGGAGGTGACGCGAACAGCGAGGGACGAACAGCACGCCACATGAGGTGACGCACACAGCGAGGGATGAACAACACGCCACATGAGGTGACGCGAACAGCGAGGGACGAACAGCACGCCACATGAGGTGACGCACACAGCGAGGGATGAACAACACGCCACATGAGGTGACGCGAACAGCGAGGGACGAACAGCACGCCACATGAGGTGACGCACACAGCGAGGGATGAACAACACGCCACGGAGGTTGACGCGAACAGCGAGGGACGAACAGCACGCCACATGAGGTGACGCACACAGCGAGGGATGAACAACACGCCACATGAGGTGACGCGAACAGCGAGGGACGAACAGCACGCCACATGAGGTGACGCACACAGCGAGGGATGAACAACACGCCACGGAGGTGACGCGAACAGCGAGGGACGAACAGCACGCCACATGAGGTGACGCGAACAGCGAGGGACGAACAGCACGCCACATGAGGTGACGCACACAGCGAGGGATGAACAACACGCCACGGAGGTGACGCGAACAGCGAGGGACGAACAGCACGCCACATGAGGTGACGCACACAGCGAGGGATGAACAACACGCCACGGAGGTGACGCGAACAGCGAGGGACGAACAGCACGCCACATGAGGTGACGCACACAGCGAGGGATGAACAGCACGCCACATGAGATGACGTATACAGCGAGGGACGAACAGCACGCCGCATGAGGTGACGCACACAGTGACGGACAAACAGCACGCCACATGAGGTGACGCACACAGCGAGGGACGAACAGCACGCCACATGAGGTGACGCGCACAGCGAGGGATGAACAACACGCCACATGAGGTGACGCACACAGCGAGGGATGAACAACACGGCACATGAGGTGACGCGCGCAGCGATGGATGAACAACACGCCACATGAGGTGACGCACACAGCAAGGGACGAACAGCACGCCACATGAGGTGACGCACACAGCAAGGGACGAACAGCACGCCACATGAGGTGACGCACACAGCAAGGGACGAACAGCACGCCGCATGAGGTGACGCACACAGCAAGGGACGAACAGCACGCCACATGAGGTGACGCACACAGCAAGGGACGAACAGCACGCCACATGAGGTGACGCACACAGCAAGGGACGACCAGCACGCCACATACGCCACAGCAATGCTGACCAAGCACGGTCTCACGCAGACTATTAACGCCTGGTGACGTCACAACACCACACCACGCACTCTAGACGTGACGTCACTGCCCCGACTCTCACCTGAACCGACACGGGAAATCACACAGTCATCACGTACCCTCGGACATGTCCATCGAGTGACGTCATCCCTCTCCACGCCTTCTCAAAATGACGTCACAAATGCGTATATAGGCACCGACCGCCGGGCATAATGACGTCACTCTACCCAACACCCTCAGCCCTGCGATGGCGCCACGCTCCCGAACCCCGCCGCCATCTGCCGGTTACAATACTGCCACACTTCCACCTCGCCTGCCTTGAAGATGTCACATTCTAGACAACACCGTCGGCGTTCACAGGTCAAGATGACGTCACAATACCCCGACCCGTCGCGATGACGTCACGCACCCGGACGACGCCGTCGGTGCTGCCGGTCATGATGACGTTGTCGGCGTCCCACTCGTTAATCTGGCTGAAGCCCAGACAGAGGATCTGCTGCATGCGGTCGGACGCGCCGACGGCCGTGTTCACGCGGGCCACCTCGGCCCCGTTCACCGTCCACACGTGCAGCCACGTGCCTGACGAGGTGGCGATGTCGCCCTGCCGCACGGAGGCGCGCCGCGGTGAGCGCGGCCGAGGCGCCCGCGTCTCCGTGACGCGGACACAGGGAGCGGCTGCAGGGGGTGCACGGCAACTCCGCAGCGACAGCCGAGGGTTGTGAACAGAGGTCGTCAATGCACCTCACGGCCACCAATGTCACCGCTCGGGTGCCAGAGACGCAGCTTTTCCAGTACGCCAGCCTACGGACAGCGTGCGGCCATCTCAACGGACACTTCTGACGCAAGAGAGTGGAGGCGTGCCAGATCAGCGCAGTGATCAGAACGAACGGGGGCAATCACGCGACTCCGCGGCACGGCCGGCCCGTGCGCGCCGCCGGCGGCGCCTCCTCACCGTCACGTCATTGATAGCGACGGCGGCCACTGGGGCGGCGTGTCCGCGCAGCTGGCGGACGTAGGTGAGGCGGAACAGGTCCCAGACGATACAGGTGCCGTCCCGAGAGCCTGGCGGGCACACCGGGGTACGGAGCCGTCACCACTGACATGGGTCCGTCAGAGGGGTACGGAGCCGTCACCACTGACATGGGTCCGTCAGAGGGGTACGGAGCCGTCACCACTGACATGTGTCCGTCAGAGGGGTACGGAGCCGTCACCGCTGACATGGGTACGTCAGAGGGGTACGGAGCCGTCACCACTGACATGGGTCCGTCAGAGGGGTGCGGAGCCGTCACCACTGACATGGGTCCCTCAGAGGGGTGCGGAGCCGTCACCGCTGACATGGGTACGTCAGAGGGGTACGGAGCCGTCACCACTGACATGGGTCCCTCAGAGGGGTGCGGAGCCGTCACCGCTGACATGGGTACGTCAGAGGGGTACGGAGCCGTCACCACTGACATGGGTCCGTCAGAGGGGTACGGAGCCGTCACCACTGACATGGGTCCGTCAGAGGGGTACGGAGCCGTCACCGCTGACATGGGTCCGTCAGAGGGGTACGGAGCCGTCACCACTGACATGGGTCCGTCAGAGGGGTATGGAGCCGTCACCACTGACATGGGTACGTCAGAGGGGTACGGAGCCGTCACCACTGACATGGGTCCGTCAGATGGGTACGGAGCCGTCACCACTGACATGGGTCCGCCAGAGGGGTACAGAGCCGTCACTACTGACATGGGTCCGTCAGAGGTACAGAGCCGTCACCACTGACATGGGTACGCCAGAGGGGTACGGAGCCGTCACCACTGACATGGGTCCCTCACAGGGGTGCGGAGCCGTCACCACTGACATGGGTACGTCAGAGGGGTACAGAGCCGTCACCACTGACATGGGTACGTCAGAGGGGTACAGAGCCGTCACCACTGACATGGGTCCCTCACAGGGGTGCGGAGCCGTCACCACTGACATGGGTACGTCAGAGGGGTACAGAGCCGTCACCACTGACATGGGTACGTCAGAGGGGTACAGAGCCGTCACTACTGACATGGGTACGTCAGAGGGGTACAGAGCCGTCACCACTGACATGGGTACGTCAGAGAGGTACGGAGCCGTCGCCAGTGAATACAACCTGACAAATTCAACAAGCACCAGAGAATACAGGAGCTGCCAGTCAGGTTTCAGACGACCCATCCATACGCACAGTATCCAATCAGCGAAGACTGGGAGCCACATCTGTACGTGACAGCGCTGCACACGACTTCCAGCAGGCCGACGGCCAGGACGCCCCCCCCCCCCCCCCCGGCTGCTGTGCTGTTGTCGCTCTGTGGCACCACACTCACCGGACACTATGAGCGAGTAGGCGGTGCTGGCCGCCAGCGAGAGCACCGCCTCTGTGTGGCCACAGAGGCGCGCCTTTACGCGCAGCCGCCGCTTGCCGTACTCGTACACCACCACCACCTGGCGGACGAGGACGCAGCTTGAGGTTGTGGCAGCGGCCGGTGGGCGGCCAGACTTGACATGTGCTCCGAAGCCGTATCCGGGTAACACAAAACACGAAATTTACCTTCACGGACACGAAATTAACTGAAATACGAAACAACTGTAACACGAAGTTCATCTTCGAGCCGAGAAAGGGATCTGTGCACTGGTCGACCATTACAAAATAATCCACTATGACTCAAAAGTACCTACAAGCATCACAAAATCTGATCGAGAGACGGGCTCAGCAACCACACAGAGGCATGATCGTGCCCCGCTGCAAAGGCGAGCGAGCATGCTATCAGAGATGGCGTGCAAACGTCCCAGTCACAGGCTGTGCAGCCGTGCGTTTGTGTAGCTCTCGATGTGCCCGTGCGAGCGCTAACGTGTGTGTGGATGAGACCCCTGTGTGGATGAGACCCCTGTGTGGATGTGACCCCTGTGTGGACCCTGACGTCTGTGTGGATGTGACCCCTGTGTGGACCCTGACGTCTATGTGGATGTGACCCCTGTGTGGACCCTGACGTCTGTGTGGATGTGACCCCTGTGCGGACCCTGACGTCTGTGTGGATGTGACCCCTGTGTGGACCCTGATGCCTCTGTGAGTGTGACCGCTGTGTACCGGCCATGCCTGGGCCTGGGCCGGGGCCGGGGCCGGGGCCGGGGCCGGGGCCGGGGCCGGGGCCGGGGCCGGGGCCGGGGCGGGGCCCGTACCGTGCTGGTGCCGCCGGTGACGATCAGCTTGTGACGCGGCGCCAGGCAGCAGAGCACCTCGCCGCTGTATACCAGCTCGGCCACCAGCGACGCCCGGTCCGTCTCGTAGCTGCCCACCCGCACACTGCCACACACACACACACGGAGACCGACCGTCAGCGGCCGGCACAGAGCCGCCAGACGAGCGACGGCGGGACATGGCCGCGACAGAGGCGGGCAGCCGGCAGACGATGACAAGCATGACGCGATCAGGCTCCCGGCAAGCGGCGAGGCCGGACACGTGAGAGATCTTGACAGGCCAGGACAGTTCCGCTTGAGCGGAACCGATTGCCTGGCACTGTGAAGACACAGCTCGGTTCGGTAGCCAGTTTCGCTTCCGCAAGTCTTCACCGCACATTCTGGCCTCCTCCGAAGGCACGACGAAGCGTTATCGGGATGTGCAGAACCAGCGGTGGCTGGGCACCAGAGCTGGGTGAAGACATCCCGCCGGCTGCTGTGCGATGTGTTAAAACCGCCGCCGCTCAGTCTCAAAGCAGGGCGGGGAACGACATCGCATGGCGAACAGGCTGTCGGGCGACGACGCTGGCTGCAGCCGCCGGTCTCGCGGCGGCGCCCGCCAGCCGAGCCACGGCGGTGCCGCCAGCCGAGCCGCGGCGATGCCCGCCAGCCGAGCCGCGCGATGCCCGCCAGCCGAGCCGCGGCGATGCCCGCCAGCCGAGCCGCGGCGATGCCGCCAGCCGAGCCGCGGCGATGCCGCCAGCCGAGCCGGCGATGCCCGCCAGCCGAGCCACGGCGATGCCGCCAGCCGAGCCGCGGCGATGCCCGCCAGCCGAGCCGCGGCGATGCCGCCAGCCGAGCCGCGGCGATGCCGCCAGCCGAGCCGCGGCGATGCCCGCCAGCCGAGCCGCGGCGATGCCGCCAGCCGAGCCGCGGCGATGCCCGCCAGCCGAGCCGCGGCGGTGCCGCCAGCCGAGCTGCGGCGGCGCCCGACCGGACTGCTGGCTCCGGTACCCCACCGTCGCCCGCCAACAGGACACTCCACGACCGGCGCCAACAGGACACCCCACCGCTGGCCGCTAACAGGACACCTCACCGCTGGCGCTAACAGGACACCTCACCGCTGGCCGCTAACAGGACACCTCCCCGCTGGCCGCTTACAGGACACCTCACCGCTGGCGCTAACAGGACACCCCACCGCTGGCCGCTAACAGGACACCTCACCGCTGGCCGCTAACAGGACACCTCACCGCTGGCGCTAACAGGACACCCCACCGCTGGCCGCTAACAGGACACCTCACCGCTGGCCGCTAACAGGACACCTCACCGCTGGCGCTAACAGGACACCTCACCGCTGGCGATAACAGGACACCTCTCCGCTGGTGCTAACAGGGCACCTCACCGCTGGCGCTAACAGGCCACCCCACCGCTGGCCGCCCATGTCATGATACGAGGGGATTGCGCATTTAACACCGGCAGCCGCTGCCCTCAGCAACGTCGTCAGCCAGCAGCGATGGGGGAATCAACGCACACACGCACGCACACCCACACCCATATATATATATATATATATATATATATATATATATATATATATATATATATAACTCGATGCTGAACAACAAGCACGGACCAAACACAAGCGGCGCCAGCAAAACCGTGCCGCCCAGCCGCCGCGCCTGAACCCCAGCCGCCTCTCGTCAGTGACGACGGGCCGTGGCCGGCGGCGGCCGGCGGTCCGCAGTCTGACCCTGCCCAGTCTGACCTGTGGTCGGCGAAGCCCCAGGCCACGTAGCGCGAGCTGGCGCCGGGCACGATGTACTTGTTCTGCTCGACGGCCAGCACCGAGCGGTCGGTGGCCACGATGTGGCCGATCGGGCCCTTCAGCTCTGGCGGCGGAGAGGCGCGCGTGTAGGTACACCGGTCACGAGAGGTGACACGGCCTGAGCGGCCGATGGTGCACACGTGACACCGGTTCACGGGGGTGTCACAGGCGGTGTCACGGCCTGAGTGGCCGGTCGTGCACACGTGTCATCGGCCACAAGAGTGTCACGGGCGGTGTCACGGCCTGAGCGGCCGGTGGTACACACGTGTCACACATGTCATCGGTCACACGGGTGTCACGGCTACAGGCGTGTCATGGATGCCCAGGGTCACATGAAATTTAAGAGTAATGCCACTAACCACATGGGTGTCTCCGACCGTGTGGGTCCCACGGACCATATGGGTTCAAATATCGCATGGGTAACGGATTTGGTGAACAAACAGCTAAACCCATTGCCCCAATATCTGTGTTTCTCATCATCACACAGATTGAAGCGCCCCCAGCTTCGGCTGACCGTATTCAGGCTACGCACAATCCAGGCTGGGTACAGCTGCACCGAGCGCTCCGCCGCCCATGCCCCTCTCCCCACGCCTCATCCCATCAGATCATCTAATCTTAACTCGCCCCATCTCACCTCGCCGCTTCTCATACCAGCTCACCTCACCTATTCACACCTCGTTTCATCTCATCTCACCCCACACCACTTCACCTTGTCTCACCGCAGCCCATCTCACCGCATCTTATGTTGTCTCATCTCATCTCATCTCACTTCACCATTCCAAGCCGTACCCTGCCCCCCCCCCCCCCCCCACACCACCTGCCCCAGCGCGCGCGCGGGCCCACCTTTGACGGGCTGCATGCTGGGCCGCAGACTGTCCAGGCCGTGGAAGAAGAGGCGCTCGCCGGCGCCGGCGCCGCCGCCGCCCAGGCCCTGCTGCCAGGCGCCCTCCAGCAGGCGGCTGGTGAGCCGCGCCGGGTGCAGCACGGCGCCGCCGCCGCCGGCCAGCCGCCGCTGCGGGTGCGGCTTCCGGAACAGCTGCTTCGGGATCTGGCCGAAGTTGTTGATGAAGCCCACCGTTGCGTTCTTCTTGAGCGGGTCCTCGATGCTGTTGGCGAGGGGCGGGCGCGCACGAGTCAGGTCAAGCTGCCAGGCGGGGCCGGACCGTGTTTCGGAGGCGCCGGCGGCGGCAGCCGGCCCCCACGTACACAGAGGAGGCCAGCTCGGAGTGGGAAGTCCGGCAGCAGAGACGGTCTGTTCCAGGCGGAAGAAAACCATTGCGAAAACCAACACAATATATCCGATGATAATCGGGGAGACACACAACTGGTTGTTTCGCACCACTCGTTCCTTACCCGCGGTCACAGTGAACATGAGCCTTTCACGAACACATCACAGCCATTTCACCGATAAAAGCGAACTTTACCCAGTCAACAAACCTCACGAACCATCCATGCCCGCTCACCACCTAAGCAGCAGCTACAGCCATGCGTCAAAAACCACTAGCTGGCCGATGGCGGGGTAACAGTGAGTCGCACCTGAAGATGTCGACGTTGCCCTCGTAGAAGAGGTAGTGGAAGACGTTGCAGGCCTCCACGGCCCCCGGACCCTGCTGCTTGTAGCCAAAGATCAGGTCTGCAACACGCCCAGACCCGACGTCCCGATGATGGTGACCGAGGACGGAGGGCGTGTCTCAACCGCGCCGAACAGGCCACGGCTGCACAGGACTCACCGAGAATCGGGACTCCGCACACGGGGTCCCGATTCAAGACACGGACAAGAATGACAAGAATTCTCCGGTGGAATACACCCGGAAAACTGCAGGTACGCACTTTGCAGGCCGGTAAAAGCAAATTAATTAAGCGGGGTCAAGTTAACAGTGTTGGTCACGATGCCGTGATCTCTTCGTGATCATCGTCAGCTCGGTGTTGTGATCATCGTCAGCTCGGTGTTGTGGTCATCGTCAGCTCGGTGTTGTGATCATCGTCAGCCCGGTGTTGTGATCATCGTCAGCTCGGTGTTGTGATCATCGTCAGCTCGGTGTTGTGACCATCGTCAGCTCGGTGTTGTGATCATCGTCAGCTCGGTGTTGTGATCATCGTCAGCTAGGTGTTGTGATCATCGTCAGCTCGGTGTTGTAATCATCGTCAGCTCGGTGTTGTGATCATCGTCAGCTGGATGTTGTGATCATCGTCAGCTCGGTGTTGTGATCATCGTCAGCTGGGTGTTGTGATCATCGTCAGCTGGGTGTTGTGATCATCGTCAGCTCGGTGTTGTGACCATCGTCAGCTCGGTGTTGTGATCATCGTCAGCTCGGTGTCGGTCGATGCTAACAACTTACACTATCCAGCTTAAGCTGGAATAATGGCTGGACCAAAAGCCCTTCACCTACCAATGTGCCGCACAGCGTTACACTGGCGCCAGAATGCTGTCATCATCCAGAAGTCCGCCTCCTTTCCGACCTCACACCCACCACCCCTGACGTGTTGTCCAAGCAGGGATCAGAGCGGACTTGTCCTCCGGCCGTTCCCTCCCCACGTGCCGCGATGAGCTGGTGGCCGCGTCGCGACGTACCGATCCAGATCCAGTGGTGCAGATGGAACCGCAGTCGGCGCGCCCCTAAACTCCAATAAACAACACGTGACGTACCGATTCAGTGGTGCAGATGGGACCACACGTGACGTACCGATCCAGTGGTGCAAGTGGGACGAGACGTACGGACACTCCAGCGCCTCGCGGTGCACGCGGATGAACTCGCGCGGGTCGCCCTTGGCCCAGGGCGGCAGCACCACGTCGTCCAGGGCGGTGCCGTTCTGCTTGTGACCTGGGGACCAGGACGGCGCCGGCTCTGTGACACGGCCTCGTCCGGCTGACGAGCCAGGGCGGACCGGCGGGCACCGAGCGGTGCGTTCTCGGCCATCAACAGGCAACATCGAGTCAGCCGGCCAGCGGCTACAGAGACTACGAGAGCAGGTGTTAAAGCGCTGAAAACGAGGGGGATGATTTTGCGCCCCACCAGGGGACTTGTGCATACAGCACACAGAGTACCGAAAGAACCGAACAGAAGATAATGAGATCTGGTTGGGGCATGACGGCGATATTATCCACCCATTTTCGAATTAAGAAAGTTCCCAATGGAGAGGAAATTGTGCATTGGGGACTGAGGGCCAGCCAACTCGTCTTTATGGTGTCACAACTAACCCTTGATTTCAAATATAACACAGCTGTTGCAGAGCTATTCCCTGGGACCCAATACGACTGAAACAGCGTGCACCAGCATAGCCCTGCCAAACGCCGGCATAGCAGAAAAATGAATAACTCCAGTAGAAGTATCGAGCGCACAAACACACCATCAAACTGGCACACCACCGCCGCCCCCCCCCCCCCCCCCCGTCCACACACACACACACGCGGAGCGTCTCCCTTCAGACTCCGCCCACCGCAGGGCGGCCCGCCGGCAGCCCCTACCCAAGTCGAAGCCGTTGGCGTTGCCGACGAACTCCGGCAGGTAGAAGAACTCCGGTATGAGCTCCCGCACGTCGGCCATGTTGTGCTTGGAGGCAGAGAGCCAGGCGTCCTCCACGCTGTGGAACATCCGGTCCGCCAGGTCGAAGTGGCCGCCCTGGGGGCAGGGCGGGGTTTGTAACTCAGCGAGCTCCCGCCCTGGGGGCGTGACGGGGTTTGCGGGTCAGCGAGCTCCCGCCCTGGGGGCGTGACGGGGTTTGCGGGTCAGCGAGCTCCCGCCCTGGGGGCGTGACGGGGTTTGCGGCTCAGCGAGCTCCCGCCTTGGGGAGGAACGGGGTTTGTAACTCAGCGAGGTCCCGCTCTGGGGGCAAGGCGGGGTTTGTGGCTAAGCGAGCTCCCACCCTGGGAGCGTGGCGGGGTTTGCGGGTCAGCGAGCCGCCGCCCAGGGAGCGTGACGAGGTTTGTGGCTCAGCGAGCTCCCGCCCTAGGGAGCTCGCTGGGTTCATGACCCAGCAAGCTCAGAGTGTGGCCACGTGACCGCGCTGTGCAGAGACGCAGGGCTCGGCCGGGTCAGGCGTGGCCAGGCTGCCGGACACCACCGGCGGCGCGCCCGCCTGCCCGGCACGGACGCTCCGGCCCAATCACCATCTGGGAGTTCACACACAAGGTCACTTAGAGATCACCGGCGCACTGGCGAACACGGCCTCACTGCGTACAGCCTGGCAGTGAGGCCGTGTTCGCCCGTGGACGCCGTACGTTGAACAGCGGACAACCAGGTACACACACGTACGTGCGCAGGACGTACACGCAACGTCCCGAACAGCCGCGGACAGCTGCCTATTACGCACGTTAAATGAAAGGTTTCACATTTGGAGATACTGAAGCAAGCATCAGATGTGATGAAGCAAGCTCCCTTATTATAATTAGTATGCTTTTAAGTGGAAAAGAGTGCTCCAGACAGCACAGTTCTGTTGAGCAAATATGCTCCTAAATGTCATCGTGTCTTGCACAGGATTGATTGAGAGCCAATTAATAACCGTCATATCTGTAAATTGTGCTCACGAACGCCAGATAAGAACGCCTAAACAGTAATATTTTTCTTGGCCCTGATTGCCGCATGGCTTATGGAATTAAAGAATTTGAATGACGTTATAAGGACGTCATGAATGCCGAGGTGGCTTAAAATTACCCCCCCCCCCCCCCCAAATAAAACTCCATTTCCACGGGCGTGCAGGTCACAAACTAGCGGGGCTTAGGTCTTAAGAAGAGCAGAATTGTAAACAGCACCGAAAAGTCTTCAAAATGGCTATTTCACTTAAAGACCCCACATATACGTGGAACACCCCTTTTAAGTGCGCCGTGGTATGGCATCTTGTAAAGGTGCTTCGCCTTAAGCCGGCACGCTTGAGCTTTTTACAAACAGTTCAGCTCATATGCTGCTAGCCAGCCTCACACGATGCCTTCGTGGACGCTTACTGATGGGTTATGGCCAAGGTCACGCGACCTTTCGTCCTCGGGGCCGCACCAGCCGAACTGTCGGCACGGCGCCGGCCGACAGCTCAGCGGGGGACCAGCCGACAGCTCAGCGGAGGACCAGCCGACAGCTCGGCGGGGGACCGGCCGACAGCTCGGCGGGGGACCGGCCGACAGCTCGGCGGGGGACCGCCTGACAGCTCGGCGGGGGACCGGCCGACAGCTCGGCAGAACACCAGCCGACAGCTCGGCGGAACACCGCCCGACAGCTCGACGGAACACCGGAACACCGGTCGACAGCCCCGTCTCACCTGCAGTCGGAGGAAGTGGGTACTGAACGGCTCCAGCCGCACCAGGTAGCTGCAGACGATCATGGCTGACGAGTAGTGGGTGCCGTAATGGTAGGGCGGCGTCTCGCCCGTCGGGTCGTCCCACTCCCGGTACCTGGCCAATCACCGCACGCGTCACAACACCGCCGGCCAATCAGGGACGACGCCGGTCAGTAGGTCACCAATCGGATGGCCGGGCGGGCTAGAGCAACATGTGAGGAGAAACAAGTCACTGGTGACACGTAATGCATTATTTGCTAGCTTTCTTATATCGGCTATGGAGCTCACTTCGGGACATTGAGTGTCAATGCCTTTTACCACGCTGCCCTGTCCGTCGCGGTGACCCACCTCGGCACACAACTGACAGCTGTGCAATATCCACATATTGGCACCTGACATCATCGCTTCTACAAGACACGCGTGTAAGGCAGCCCACCTATTGCCTATGAGAACACTTTACTGATACCTCCTCTTCTACGAGGCGTGGCCCAACAGTCCGAACTGTAACAAACTGTCGTGACCAGGACAGACATGGCCGGCACCAAGACAGGGTGTGGGCGGCGCGTGCGGGTACGTCAGACCGAGCCCAGCTCGCCCGGAGCCGCGCGGCCGGGCCGCCCGCCTTCGGCGCCGCCACCGCCCACACATCTCCTCAGTGTGTGCTGTATAGCGCACGTGGGCGGCTAACCTGGTCACGAGAGAGAGCGAGAGAGCGCGAGAGCCAGCGAGAGAGCGAAAGAGAGCGAGAGAGAGACGCCTACCAGCCTTGGCCAGTGGCAACCCTAACCTGAGCGCACGCCGCCACGCGCACCTCTTCCCGGACTGGTGGAGCTGGCGGGCATCTACACACGCACCTCCTCTCGAGCGAGCGGAGTGGCTGGGGCACACAGACACGCACCTCTTCCCGCAACGGTGGACCAGCTCGCACACCCAGCCGACGCCCCCCTCTCGTCGGACTGGTAGAGCCACCCCCTCCCCTCAGCACGCACCTCTTCTCGAACTGGTGCTGGCGGCGGGGCGTCTGCGCGCCCATGGGTCGGGTCAGGTCGCGGAAGGTGGCCGCGCCAGCCAGGTCCAGTCGCTCGGACGTGTAGTCGGCCAGGACCCACGGGAACACCGGGTACTGCATCAGGTCGTTGTAGGAGCGGCCGGCCAGCGAGTTCAGGTGCATCAGGTACTGGAAGTTGGACATCTCGCCCCGCTGTGGACACGGACCGGCGCTCCGTCAGCCGTCGGCTGAGGCGGCGCTCGACTGGGGGCAGCTACATCGCGGCCGGCCGGTGTCACGCCCGGGTCGCCAGGACACACGGGCGATCAGCGGGCATCCCAACACACGCTACGCCACAATGCCGCTCTTTCACGGCTCACCTTGTTTGCCGGCTCACTCACATTGCAGCGCACAACGCAATCCCGACTCTTGTGATGAGCCGAGGCCTGCGGCGCAACACAGCGCATACCCTGACCCATTACTGCTGCTGTACGCCGCCGGACCGGCCTCTGCCAGACGCCTTTCACCGAAGCAAACGAACCACAGCGCCTACACAGGGCGGCGGGTGCCAGCGGCGTGCTCGCGACTGTGTGCTCACCACCCAGCGCTGCGTGACGCTGGTGTCGCCCATCAGCGAGCTGAGTAAGCTGCCGCTCTGGTCGACGTTCGCCGACGTCTTTTGGCCGGCCACGCTCTCCTGCGTGTCAGCCATCGACGTGGCCACGGACATCATCCTGCGGCGCGCGCGGGTCAGGTCAGGTCAGGTCAGGTCACGGACATCATACTGAGGCGGACGCGGGTCAGATCAGGGCACGGGTATCATACTGAGACGGACGCGGGTCAGGTCAGGTCAGGGCACGGGCATCATACTGAGGCGGACGCGGGTCAGATCAGGGCACGGGCATCATACTGAGGCGGACGCGGGTCAGATCAGGGCACGGGCATCATACTGAGGCGGACGCGGGTCAGGTCAGGTCAGGTCAGGTCAGGGCACGGACATCATCCAGAGACACACCCGTGTCAGGTCAGATCAGGTCAGGTCAGGTCAGTTACACCATCCATGTTGTGGAGATGAGACGGTCAGTTTAGAATAGATAGACGCGACCGCAGCGTGTGTAACAACGCTACACGCAGCAGGGCACCACCGACATTGCATTCGGCAAAGGCAGGCCCCAGCAGAGGACTCCCAGCCCGAAGAGGGACAGCGGCGGCCTATCTGTTGCTGTCGCTTACACGCGATCACTGAACTGGAGCCATGCTCTTTTAAACGAAAGCATGCTGTATGGCGCTAGCGATGTTAGCTATTGCTGGATTATCAGACATCCCACAAACTACATGTAAGCGTTAATGAACCGAGTACGACATAATGGGCCAATGAAGCAACATAATCTTGCACAAATGCACAACTGGCTCCCAGACGCCGATGCTGAGAGAAAATTCGACGGGCAAGTCGACAATACCAGCCTGCGAGTCCGGCCTTCACCGCTCCAGCCGGCCGGGGCGCGGGCGCGCGCGCTCACCTCTGGTAGATCTTATTCCTGGTCTTGATGGGGAAAGCCAGCAGGTAGTTGCGCCCATCGGCCGAGAAGAACTCCACGGCTATCGGCTGCAGCAGGTACCTGAGAGCGGCGGTGGTACACGGTACAGGGGTACAACGCACTGTATGGTGCTCACGCTAGCCGGGTACAGCTCGCGTTCGCCTGATAGCGGCGGCCGTACTCGGTACAGGAGTACAACCCGCCGCGTGGTGCTCAGGCCAGCCGGGAATAGCTCGCGTTCGCCTGAGAGCGGCAACGGTATTCGGTGCAGCCCGCGTTCGCCTGAGGGCGGCAACGATATACGGTGCGAGGTTCAGCCCACCGCGTGGTGCTCACACTAGCCCGGTACAGCTCGCGTTCAGGCATCTGCAGGGACAGCAGCCACGACACCCGCACAAACAAGGCCACGCCCTCTGCTACCCGCGCGGGCGGGGCGCGGCAACGCTTCGGCGCAGTTACCAGGCACGGCGTTCATTGGTGCCATGCCTCACGGTCCACATCACTGTCGCCGGCGTCCACCTTATTTTCAAGCCACCGACAGCTGCTTCAGGCCGCCCACCAGTGGCTGCTGAAGTTTGAGAGCCACTGACCTGCGTTTGAGCACCTCGCGGATGTCGTCGTAGGCCACCTTGGACACGGAGCGGACGTCCTTCACCAGCCGGCCGGTGGGCTGGCACGGCACGATCGGCTCGTGCATGTTGGCCGGCAGGTTACTGATGTCACTGCGGGAGGCCGGCGGCGCGGGTCACACCCGCTCGGGTCACACTGGCACCACCCAGGTCACATCCACTCAGGTCAGGTCACACCCGCTCAGGTCACACCGGCCCCGCTCAGGCCATACCCACTCAGGCCATACTGGCCCCACTCGGGTCACACCCACCCTGCTCAAGCCACACCCACTCAGGTCGGGTCACACCTGCCCAGGTCACACCTGCTTGGGTCACACATGCTCAGGTCACACACGCAGGTCACACCCGCCCCACTCAGGTCATATCTGCTCAGGCCACACCCACCCTGCTCAGGCCACACCCACTCCGGTCATACCCACCCAGTTCAGGTCACATCAGCCTAGGTCACACCCACTCGGGTCACATATGCTCAGGTCACACACACGCAGGTCACACCTGCTCATGTCACACTCTTCCCACTCAGGTCACGCCTACTCGGGTCACACATGCTCAGGCCACACCCACTCAGGTCAGGTCACACCCGCTCATGGCACACTCGCCCCACTCAGGCCACACCCACACACAATCAGATGAGCGGAGAGTTCGGGTCAACGCCGGGACCGGAGGCCGGCTGCCGGGGTGTGCTGAGTACCACAGCCGGGTGCCGGGCTGCTCCGCGGCTGGCTCGCCGTCGGGTCACGTGACAGCAGGCTCACAAACTAGGCGCCGCAGTCTGATCGCGTAAATCGTGTACATACATGCACTGTGTGAAACAACTGCCAATATGTACAAACAAGCAGTGGGGGAAACACTCGATAGGGACTACGGACCTAGAAATAAGCTCTCGACTGAGGAATACTTGATCCAGACTAAGAACTAGATGAGAGATGGACTAGTGACTAGCGATAGGACAGGTGATAGATAAGGACTAGTGAAAAGGATTAATGAGAATACGACTAATGACTGACCGCAGTCCCGACCACCGTCGCCCCAGCGCCGGACGGCGAGCGCCGCGCGGCGCCTCTCACCGTATCTCCCTGGTCTTGAGCATGGTGAAGCCGTCCACCACGTACACGTGGTCGCGTCCGAACAGCAGCAGGCCCTCCACTGTGTCCAGACCCTGGATCCGCGCGCATCGGTACATGTGCGATATCTGGCAACACGGCGGTATGAGTCAGACCCGTACAAAGACATTCCCACTAGTACATGTGCCATATCTGGCGACACGACGGTATGAGTCAGACCCGTACAAAGACATTCCCACTGACACATGTGCCATATTTGGCAAAACGAGGCATAGAGAGACATGCTTCTATGGCTAGGGAGTCCTCCCTATATCGCCACACGCGCCACATTCGTCAACAGTAACCATGTCAGCGGCACGCAAAGGCCGCCGACAGACAGCTGACAGACAGACAGACTGACAGCTGCGTGTCTGCTGATGACAACTGCCTGAGATGTTAGATGCGTGACATATCCCAGACCCGACTGAGCTTAAAGCCGTCCCATCGGTGCTCGATGTCCTGGGGCTGCCCTATCACACAAGCCGGCTTCCTTTACCGCCTGAGCGCAAACCGCACACTCCCATCATTTGTCCCGGCCTGTGCTCCCCGCGCCGCCCGAGCTCAGACCGCGTGCTCCCAACTCACGTGCCGAGGCCTTCACATCCTACCCTTGTGAAGTCCACATTCACATCCTACCCTCCCCCCTTGCGCTCCGGCCGGCGGCCCCGGCACCGGCCGAGCTCCCGTGTCGCGCACTCCCCGGCGTCCGTGCGCCGTCACCTTCTCTCCGCTCTCGAGCAGCCTCAGCAGGGTCTGGTTGTCGGGGCTCGTGTCGGCCAGCTGGGCGGCCGGCCGGTCGGCGGCCGCCGCCTCGGCCGCCGCCTCCGTCAGGTCGAGCGACTCCGAGTCCTCGTCCGTGTCGGAGGTCATGCGCCGCCGCCGCAGGCTGCCGCGGATGCCTGGCGGCCGTCACGTCACGTCCCGTCACTCCCGGCGGCTCCCAGCCGTCACAGCACGTCACGGACACATGGTCAGCTGATGGAGGTGCACTACGGCACTAAGACTCATTTGAGCGCGCGTGGGTGGTGCGCTCACCAATCACTTTCCAGGTACAACACACAAACATCCATACGCGAAAGGTTCCTCTGCCAGTTTTCTCATGTTCTTTCGTTACGCCACAATGGCCCACGCCTCCCGCCATGCGCGCCACCTAACGCCCAACCATCGCGCCTCCACGGTCTCCCCCTCCCCAACCCCTCCTCACCAGCCGCGACCAAGTCCGCCCTCACCGCCACGTGCGCTCGCGCTCTCACCACCACGCGCGGGCGCCCTCTCACCACCACGTGCGGGCGCGCTCTCACCAGCCTGTCGGAGTTTCTCGCCGATGTCGGCGCAGTCTGCCGGCTCATCATCGGTCAGCGCCAGCGGGTCGGGCGCCGCCGCCGGCCGGCCGGCCTCGGCGCCGCCCAGCAGCGCGCGCCGCGGCGGCAGCTGGGCCCAGGCGCGCGCGTCCCGCGACCGCGCCACCTTGTACTTGGTGGCGCGCTGCCGGCGCGGGGGGAGGGGGGAGACGACTGTCAACGCGGGCGTCCACGCCGGCCACCCGGCCACCGAAGGGCTTGCGGAAGTTGAGAGCTGTCAGCCAAGAGACGAAAGGACGGCACAACAAGAACAACACGCACAGGATTGATGCACGAGTGTGTCGACGTCCCTCCATGCCACCAGCCTCCTCCAACTACGCCACAAGCGCAGCCGCCCGTCTTTGACGAGATCCACGGCTCATTAGTACCACGCCGACGCGTCACAGGTGCTGCCATCTATCGGTGGGGTCGGCCCGGCCGCCGTCGGCCGCGCGTCAGGCCACTCACGTGTACCACCAGCTCCAGGTCGGGCCGGTACGGGTAGCGCTGGTAGAACGTCACGTCCAGGCTCGTGCGCTTGCGCATGCGGCACGGTCCCTCCGTGTTGTCCAGCTGCCACTTGCTGAGGCTGTCGCAGGAGGATCGGAGCAGTCAGAGCGGGCGTCCTCCGGCGCAGAGGCGGGTCACTCAGAGCAGAGCGCCAGCTGTGACCGGGCCCGGAGTCTGCCCAGCCGCCAAAGGCCAGCCGCATCGGACGCGCCCCGCACGAGAGCACCCCGGAGCGGGCCGACAATCGGAGCGGTCAGAGCGGGCGTCCTCCGGCGCAGAGGCGGGTCACTCAGAGCAGAGGGCCAACTGTGACGGGGGCAGCCGTCTGCCGGGCGCCAAAGGCCAGCCGCACCAGACACGCCCCGCACGAGAGCACCCCGGAGCGGGCCGACAATCGGAGCGGTCAGAGCGGGCGTCCTCCGGCGCAGAGGCGGGTCACTCAGAGCAGAGGGCCAACTGTGACGGGGGCAGCCGTCTGCCGGGCGCCAAAGGCCAGCCGCACCAGACACGCCCCGCACGAGAGCACCCCGGAGCGGGCCGACAATCGGAGCGGTCAGAGCGGGCGTCCTCCGGCGCAGAGGCGGGTCACTCAGAGCAGAGGGCCAACTGTGACGGGGGCAGCCGTCTGCCGGGCGCCAAAGGCCAGCCGCACCAGACACGCCCCGCACGAGAGCACCCCGGAGCGGGCCGACAATCGGAGCGGTCAGAGCGGGCGTCCTCCGGCGCAGAGGCGGGTCACTCAGAGCAGAGGGCCAACTGTGACGGGGGCAGCCGTCTGCCGGGCGCCAAAGGCCAGCCGCACCAGACACGCCCCGCACGAGAGCACCCCGGAGCGGGCCGACAATCGGAGCGGTCAGAGCGGGCGTCCTCAGGCGCAGAGGCGAATCACACAGAGCAGTGTCAACTGTAACGGGGGCAGCCGTCTGCCCGGCCGCCAGAGGCCAGCGCGCATCGGACGTGCCCGGCACGGGAGCACCCCGGAGCAGGCCGAGCGGCGGGCTCCGTGTCAGCTCCAGCTCCGACCGCCGCCGCCGGCTCCAGCCGGAGCTGGAGCCGGTGGCGGCGGCGGCGGCGCCTCTCACCTGCTGCCCACGTCAGGACCCCAGAGGCCGCGCTCTCTCGTCAGCTCCATCTCCATCCGCTGCCGCTGGAGCCGGTGGCGGCGCCGGCGCCTCTCACCTGCTGCCCACGTCAGGGCCCCAGAGGCCGCGCTCTCTCGTCAGCTCCATCTCCATCCGCTGCCACTCGTCCATCAGGAAGTCGTCCATGTACTTCTGGCTCTGTCGGCAGCGCAGCACGTCCCGTCAGTCGGCGCGTGTTAGCTGCACGGGGCAATGGCCGTGCTTCGGCGCTGCACGAGACCATTCTGTCATTGCACGAGACCGTCTGCCACTGCACGAGACCATTCTGTCATTGCACGAGACTGTCTGCCACTGCACGAGACCATTCTGTCAATGCACGAGTGGGGTCGGGGTAATCCAGGGAGGCAAACTAACAAATACAGTGACTTCAAACCCACGCCTGCGTTTTACGCTCCTGTCGCCTCGAGGACACGCCCAGTTCAAGCCGCCAGTTGACGTCCCCACAAGGTAATCACTGCGCAAGAAATCATTCAGCCCGCAGCTTTAGCTCGGAAATCACTTACCATGGTCTGCCCTTCCAGTGCATCGTCCACCCCAGTATCGCACCCCAAACACCTGCTCACAATACACCCGCTCACTTACCACCGACGCGGTGCACCCCCTCCCTCGCCCTCCTCCCGCAGCGTCCACCAGGGCACGAACCGGCACGAACCGGCACGGACCGACGCGGCGCGGCGCGGCGCGACGCACCTGTTTCAGCTGGCGGAACTGCGTGGCCACCGTGTCGCGGACGAGGCCGATATGCTGCAGCGTACAGAGGTCGGCCTCGCCGGCCGTCAGCGTCGAGTGGCGCGCGCGCACCGAGTCGTCGCGCCGCGAGCGCGTGCGCTGCGCCAGCCGCGTCAGGCCGCCCGTCACGCGCTGCAGCTTCTGTCGGCGCCCGGCGGCCAGCGCGCGTCACCACGCGCCCGCCGACGCACCCACTACAATGCCGTGTGACGCGCGCGGGACGGCACGGCACGTCGACCGAAGTGTAATTCGGGGGCACATTTCATGCTGGTGCTGCACGCTTCGTACATAAGCCACATCAGACATTTTGGCAACCGCTGAACCCTGGTCCAACAAGCTAAACCCACATGAAAAGAGACTCGCCTCAATTCCACACGCTCCCCCGCCCCACATGTTGCAGACCACCCGCAATAGCTTCCTTTCGTGCTTGCGTTCCCCGTCTCCTTTAACATCCAACCCTTCCCCCCCCCCCTCAGCAGAATGCGTCGCTGTGTGGGCCGCAGCGGCCGACGGACGCCACGTGTTCGCCGCGTGCTCACGCTGCTGACGGTCTGCAGCTGCGCCTGGATCTCCCACGGCGGCCGGTACGAGCACTTCTTCTCGCCGTCGAGGAAGGCCAGCCAGAGCCGCGTGGCCGGCTCCTGTAGCAGCTCCCGCACCGCCTCCAGGTCCGGCGCCGTGCTGTTCTGCAGCGGCAGGCTGACCTTAAACACCTGCCGACCGTCAGGTGTCAGGTGTCAGGTCAGGTCAGGTCAGGGTATGCCGGGGCAATGCATTGTTTTGCAGCGGCTGGCCGACATTTCAAACCTGTCGGCCATCAGACGTCAGGGCAGATCAGGGCAGGACAGAACAGGACAGGACAGGACAGGACAGGACAGGACAGGACAGGACAGGTCAGGTCAGGTGAGATCAGGTCAGAGCGATGCACTGCTCTGCAGGCAACCCACACGCACGCACACCCCTGGCCTGGCGACCGTGACCGTGGCCGTGGTCACGGCTGTGGTCGTGGCCGGGGCCGGGGCCGGGGCCGGGGCCGGGGCCGGGGCCGGGGCCGGGGCCGTCGGCCCGCTCGGCGCCGTGCCGCCCCTGCAGCCTCACCTCCTCGACGGCGGGCCGTTTCCAGATGTACAGCTCGCACCAGACACGGCGGGCGGCGTTGGCCATCAGGTTGTGCCCCTGGGCCGTGTTGGGACTGGTCTCGGGGTCGAGCGAGGTCGGGATCGCGTGCCAAACCGTTCGAGACTCGGCCTCCATGCTGCAGGTCAGAGGTCAGGTCAGGTCACAGGTCAGGTCAAGCGCTGGGCAGCAGGACCACGCCGCGTGTGGCCAGAATGACAAGACCTGAATCATGCCATGTCAGGTCAGGTCACGTGCAGCGAGCAGGCCAAGTCAGACAGACTTAGCACACTTTATGACCTCCGTGGAGAAACGTGTCGCGTGGGACGTTAATGCACTTGCGAAAAAAGCGTAGAAGACGTGCTGAGATCAATTATGACGACAGACCTGAACACATTTAAGTGGCGTTACAGGTGATGACCGCCCATTCCTACCAGGATCCAATGCCTCGCGACCGACAGAAAGCACCCGAACCAAGATGGTCCGGAACAACACACAACCCCAACCAAGCTGCTTTTCACGTCAACCACGATAGGCTATTTGTTGCTTACCAACCGATGCATCCCAGCACAGCATATTGTAGCACATATATTATTCTACGGTTCACATTCATGTGCTAAATATCCAGGTGTGCGACAATACGTATCTAAGTTCCATGTGCCTAATCGCAACACTGCATATGCATCTACGCAGCATGGGCGCTAGGGTGTGCTAAGTGACGACCTTGGAGCCCGAGGGTCCCGGTTTCGATTCCCGGTGGGTCTACAAGTTTTCTGAGCGCACCACGCCAGCCGGTACGTGACATCCCGCGCCCGGGCGACCACAGCCCGCCCCATGCACCGACAGCCGACATGTCACAGCACCACCGTATCACGCATCACATACCGCTTCGCACGCTCCGCCACTCTGGGGGCACACGGCCGGATCGTGAGCGGGCGCCGGGCCAGCAGCGCCAGCGCAGCGCACTCTGGTCCAGCCCTCTGCACCGATCACCGGCCAGCCCGCCGGACCAGCCGCTCCGACCCCCCCCCCCCCCCCCCCCGTCCTGTATTGGCGAGCATTACGCATGTCGCAGACCACTTTAAACAGTGAACGTAAAAGCGAGGGTGTTTGTGCTCGGAGCGTTCCACTTTCAGTCGCAGAAAAATCTAGGCTCAAACCAATTCGGACATGGGTAATAGCTGAAGCTAAGTATGACCGCTTCAACTTCCTGACGCTTAGTGCATCCGAGCATAATTCATAAAATAAGCGATTACTGATTGTGTTTTCCAGCACGCGGCCGGCCGCAAGGCACGGCGGGGAGCGTCAGCACCGGCGAGGTGCTGCCAAGTGTATGAGGGGCGCGTCCGGGCGGGCGCGCCCTGGCCGTCCCTCAGCCGTCCACTCACATGATCTTGAGGCCGCCGGTCAGCTGCAGCAGGCAGTACACGAGCGCGCCGAAAAACTCCGAGTCGTGGTTCCCGGAGCCGAATACCAGGCTCCTGCAGCGGGGGAGCGGCTCGGTGTGAGACCAACACACTGGACCCGGGCACACTCTGGCGGCGGGGGAGCGGCTCGGTGTGAGACCAACACACCGGACAGGGCACACTCCGGCGGCGGGGGAGCGGCTCGGTGTGAGACCAACACACTGGACAGGGCACACTCTGGCGGCGGGGGAGCGGCTCGGTGTGAGACCAACACACTGGACAGGGCACACTCTGGCGGCGGGGGAGCGGCTCGGTGTGAGACCAACACACTGGACAGGGCACACTCTGGCGGCGGGGGAGCGGCTCGGTGTGAGACCAACACACTGGACAGGGCACACTCTGGCGGCGGGGAGCGGCTCGGTGTGAGACCAACACACTGGACAGGGCACACTCTGGCGGCGGGGGAGCGGCTCGGTGTGAGACCAACACACTGGACAGGGCACACTCTGGCGGCGGGGGAGCGGCTCGGTGTGAGACCAACACACTGGACAGGGCACACTCTGGCGGCGGGGGAGCGGCTCGGTGTGAGACCACACACTGGACCCGGGCACACTCTGGCGGCGGGGGAGCGGCTCGGTGTGAGACCAACACACTGGACAGAGCACACTCTGGCGGCGGGGGAGCGGCTCGGTGTGAGACCAACACACTGGACCCGGGCACACTCTGGCGGCGGGGGAGCGGCTCGGTGTGAGACCAACACACTGGACAGGGCACACTCTGGCGGCGGGGGAGCGGCTCGGTGTGAGACCAACACACTGGACAGGGCACACTCTGGCGGCGGGGGAGCGGCTGGGTGTGAGACCAACACACTGGACCCGGGCACACTCTGGCGGCGGGGGAGCGGCTCGGTGTGAGACCAACACACTGGACCCGGGCACACTCTGGCGGCGGGGGAGCGGCTCGGTGTGAGACCAAACACACTGGACCCGGGCACACTCTGGCGGCGGGGGAGCGGCTCGGTGTGAGACCAACACACTGGACCCGGGCACACTCTGGCGGCGGGGGAGCGGCTCGGTGTCAGACCAACACACTGGACCCGGGCGCACTCTGGCGGCGGCTACACTGCCACAGCTGATACCCAGCGGCGAAGCGCGACGAGCAGACTTGTAACGAGGCGCGTAGAGCTAAACTGATCCCTGACACGGCAGCAGCGTGTATTCACGTATCCGCCGCCATTTTCACGAAGCCTTTCGACCCTCCCGTCTTTGCGATGCCTTGCCCGCCAGCCCGATGCGCTCCTGCACATGCCATGACGTGTATATTTGACCTGCCACTCGTCAGCCATGTGTGCTTCACCGGTGGTAAACCCACACGTGTGAGCCTCACACGACACCGCCCAGACAAGGTTATCGCACCAGCACATGTGTGCGTCCTCACCTTGCTTGCAGGTGGCACGCGCAGGTACGACTGAGCAGTGCCTGGCGCATGTGACCACCTCCCACGCGTTGTTAACACCTCATGTTCCAGTGGCTCGCCCGTGATTGGCTCTCGCGTACGTGGTTTTCGCCCGCGATTGGCCTCCATGCGCCCGTCGCTGACCTGCGATTGGCCCCCGCTCCCTGCGCGCCCATCTCTCGTCCGTGACTGGCTGCCGCACGCCGGCCGCTCACCTGTGATTGGTCAGCGTGTGCAGCGCCTCGAGCACGCGCAGCTGCTCGGCCACACAGTCGGGGATTGGCTGCCGCGCACCGGCCGCTCACCTGTGATTGGTCAGCGTGTGCAGCGCCTCGAGCACGCGCAGCTGCTCGGCCACGCAGTCGGTGGGCCGCGAGAGGATGTAGAGCACGGCCCGGTTCAGGCAGTGGTAGACGCCGTCCAGCGGCAGCGTCTGCGACCAGCGGCGCGCCTGGCTGATCAGCTTGATGATGAAGTCCAGCACCTCGTGCGCGTCGCGCTTGAAGATGCCTGCAAGGGCCGGCGGTCGGGTCACGGCCGCGCTGAGGCCAGGCTGGTGCCAATGGTACCCGCACGGCCATCCCTCCGACGGCTACCACAGATTGTGGTATATCCGAAGGACCTGAGCTGGCTTGCCTGCATCTAAATTCGCGGACTACGTCTGGGTCTGTTATCGCAGGACAGCACGTTTCTCCCGATATAGACCGCTTTTTACAACTCATTCGATTACAATGTAATGCGCCTAGTGCAAATAACCGATGCAGCTGACGCGTCATTAAAACCCAGTGCTACACACTCAGTAATGCGCTCAGAACACTGTCGGGACAGCACATTGCTGCCCAAATGTCTGTCTTTAATATTCCGTGCAAGCACAGCTCCAAATCTCAAGAGCGTCAGCCATCGGGTCGGCCACAGTGTATCATCAGTGAGTATCTGCACCTGCCGGTCACCACGTCCACGCCGGACAAGCCTAGCGAGCGCCAGCCGAGCGTGCCAGGACACAGCACCGACACAGAACCAATCAGCCGTGGCTCTGGTGCAGCTCGCGAGCGACCGGGCGCTGATTGGGCGCCTGACCGCGCCGCCGCGCTCTGATTGGCCGAGCGGCCGTGCGGGGCGTGGTCGCGGACTGACCCTGCCAGAGCTTGTCCACCAGCCGGCCGGCGAAGTAGAACACGTTGCCGGGGACGTGCTGCACGCTGCCTCCGGGCGAGATGGGTAGCGCCGCTGCAGCACATAGCAGGAGGCACATGTGACGTGGTGTGACGTCACACAGGCCGACGCGGCCGCGTGATGTCAGACAGACATGGGCGGGTGACGTCAGAGCGACGTGGCGTGGCAGCCCCGCAGCCATGTCTGCAAGTGTCTGCCTACTATCACTCATATTCGGCATTCTAACAATACGCCATCCACCCTGTTTTCTTCGTGAATGGTCCAGGAAATGCACCGTGACAACAGCATACAACACAACACTACCTACGCGCAACAAAAAAACCGCCAACGCTCGGACCATACCACAAACGCTCACCAAAGAAGCACCCCTTGTGACTTTCACATTCGAAACGCCGCACACTTCAACGCCCAGCGACCGACACTAAACCGCCATCCGCCATCACGGCTCTCCCGCGACGCTGTCCCGGCGCGGCACGGCTGGTCCGACCGACCACCAGCGGCGGTGGCCTGCCCTCCGCGAGCGCCTCCGCGAGCGCCGCCGCCGCCGCCGACCCGTACCTTGCTCTCCGATCAGCACGTCCGCGGCCGTCAGGTGGTCCATCAGCAGCGAGAGGATGCGGGTCTGGAAGGACATCTGCTGCGCCAGCGTCGTGTTGTCAGGGGCGACCTGGCCGCAGGACGTCCGGTTATGGACGGCTAGTGGCACAGGGCGACGGTTCGATCGGTGGGCGGGGCTCGGACTTTTGTGGCAGTTCAGTGTTCGAATTATCGTAGGAGGCGGCGAACAGGCCACTTTCGACAGAGATTCGAAAATGCACTGAGTAGCTTGACTGCCTCATGGGGATCATTGTTTACCGATCTGCTATTGCGATGCAACAGTGGCAAAGCGAGACAACCGCAACGAAATTCAGAAGCTTGATTACATCGTGCGGAAACAAACAGGCCCTGATTCTCCCACCGACGGTCAGTACTCGACACCCCCTGGAGACGAGTCCTCAAATAACAAATACAACACAAAACAACACAAATGCAAACCGCGCACTGAATACGGCAGTACATCACGCCCACACCCACACCCAGCACACCACGCCTCATCAACACCCCGGCCAGCGTGGGCCGACGCCCGCTACGGCGTCTGGCGGCCGTGGCCCCGTGGGCGCGGACGGCGGCAGCCACTCACCTCCAGCAGGATGTCGATGAGCGGCGGCGAGGTCTTGCTGGGCGCCAGCGACAGCGAGTCCACGGCCACGATCCGGATCAGGTCCAGCACGTACTTACTGGCCGGGTGCGCCGTCAGCACACCCTCCGAGGCGGCGCTCACCAGCACGGCGTCACTCAGAGACACCTGTCGGCGCGCGGCCGAACTTGTGGTTCGCATTTCATCCACCAGCCTCAGCCACAGCTCTCGGATATCATGGCTTGCTGACGTGGCGTATAGCGGAGGAAGCAGAGCATGGCAATAGCCTGGCACCTGAGGGTCTGTGCAATCCTAATCCGTGGAGGGCCTACGTCGCAAAGAGGAGACACTGACGCCTGAACACCTGCCGACCGAGTGCCGCGTCCAGGTGAGCTGGCCAGCACGCCAGCACCCGGTGGCGGCCGGCGCTGCTCGGCCGGAGCTGGCGCTGACGAGCCAGCCACCGGTGCAGCGACGCCACCAGACACTGCAGTACCATGGTCTCCGCCCCTTCCCCAGCTAAGCTGCGGTGTGACCGCCCACTACGAGCGCGCCACGCGCTGCTCCAACATCCGCTCCGTCCCGCCGTGCTGGCTGCCCGCCCAGGCGTGCCGTTCCACCGAGGCCCCCCCCCCCCCCCTTATCCCGCCCTCCGCCGCGCCGCCTCACCGGGTCATCGAGCGGCGTGGTGGGGCTGCTCTCGGCGCCCGGCCGGTACGGGAAGAGCGTGCCGGCCAGCACGGCCAGCACCTCCGACGACATCAGCACCGGCCGCATGTCGGCGCAGTGGTGGTACAGGTACAGCACAAACTGCAGGATCGTCAGCGGCTGCTCCGACGCGCTGTCGGCGCGCCGGCGGCGACGCGTCACACGCGGCGGCGACACTCAATACACGCACGCACGTGAGGCGGGTGGCCGCTGGACAGCAGGCAAGTGGCACCTCCGGACGATCGCTTTTGCATCCCTGCGATGATGATGATTTGGGCTTTGGGGCGCACCGAGTGCAACGGTCATATGGCACCCATGCATCCCTCAGGCGCTTTTGTGCGCCATTAACTATGGCAACCACAAATTCATCAAACGTCCCAGAGGTGAGTCTAATCGCAGTTAGTGAAAAAGAAGATGCACATGGGCAGGAATAAAAAGCGTCCCCACAGCGCGACCTAGTATTACACGGCAGTAACGCACCATCAATTACTTACACCGTCGCAATGTCATCATGTACTATACTTCACAGGCCTCGATCACCGGCCTCAGCTGGAATCACAGTCGGGATGTTCGCCGACCGGCCGGCGGCATCTCAGCACACGGAGGCACGCCAGACCTGCTCACACTCAGACCGCCCTCCGAGCCCGTCGGCCGACCCTCCCTCCTCATCAGCCACGGACCTCTCGTAGTTCAGGTGCGCGCGCACCATCTCCAGGAGGCCGATCAGCGCCTCGGGGATGATGGTCATCCTGGGCGGCAGCCGACCGCCGGACGCCGGGTCGATGCCGCACACGTACAGCCAGATGGTGTCCAGGGTCAGCTGTCGGCAGCGGCAGGTCAGGAGGGTCAATACCGCACATGTACAGCCAGATGGTTGTCACAGGGTCAGCTGTCGGCAGTGGCAGGTCACGGAGGGTCAGTACCGCACACGTACAGCCAGATGGTGTCCAGGGTCAGCTGTCGGCAGCGGCAGGTCACGGAGGGTCAATACCGCCACATGTACAGCCAGATGGTGTCCAGGGTCAGCTGTCGGCGTGGTGGCAGGTCAATTCGTCGTTAAGGCCAGGTCAAGTCCGGCCAGGCCTCGTGGCGCTGCGGTCAGCTCAGGCCGGTGTATCCACCACGAGGACCAATTCCTCTTACAGAGACGCCGAGCGAAGCCCGCAGGTCCTGCGTCTCCTCTCTACAGCCGCCTCTACATCGGCCGCAACACCACGCCTGTCACCAGGTGTGCCTCCCCGGCTCCCGTATCACGCACCGCACTGCTCCAACAAGCTACTTGTCTAGCCTGTCACCAGAACATCGCCACCGCCACCGCCCGGCCCACTTTCTCACCGCAGCCCACATTCTCACCGGCCAAGCCCCCTCTGCTCACCAGCGTGTGCTGCGGCGGCGCCTGCACCTGCTGGCCCAGCAGCAGCTGCCAGCAGCATGAAGCTGACCTCGGTCAGCTCCGTGTGCTTGGGCAGCAGCCAGTTAAGCTGCTGGAAGCCGGGAATCTGCAGCGTGGCGTCGTGCACCTCCTGGCGGGCGGCACCGGCGCCGGCACCGCCGCCGCCGCCGCCGCTGCCACTGGTGCCCACGCCGCCGTACTGTCGCCCATGTGGTAACCTGCCACGTGGCAGGACGGTCACAGCCAGCGCGTGGCACAGGCGACGGGTGACGCGCTCACACGCACGCACGCACACGCACACGCACACGCACACACACGCGCACACGCACGCACGCACGCACAGAGCGGGAGAACGTGCCGTCCGAGCCTGACGGCCCGCCCGGCCGTCACACGCCGCTGTGCCCGGAGGCGGGGGCACAGAAAACCCAGCGAGCACGACAAACGGCAGTCAGTATCTAGCACGACAATGGGCACATCGCGCCCCAGAGCTGAAATCCTGCTGATGAGGTCTGCAGCCAGCAGACCTCATCAGCCAGCAGAGCAAGATGGCAGCGGCCGCGCGCGCCGGTTGACTGCCACGATGAGAGGTCTGGTCTGACAGAGATGCGGACCCCCGGCTCCGGAGGTCCGTACCTCTCTCTGCGGTCCACTCACAGACCGGGCCAACACCGGCTCCGTGGCTCACAGCACCGAGGCACCCACAGCCGCCACTACAACGGCCACACACAACGACAGCTTGATACCCGGCGGGTGCCGGCGTAGGTGTAGGTGTGGATGTGGGTGCGGTTGTGGGCATGGGTGCCGGTGAGGGTGTAGGTGCCGGTGAAGGTGTAGGTGCCGGTGAGGGTGTGGGGTGAGTGTGGGTGCGGGTGCGGGTGCGAGTGCGGCTGTGGTTGTAGGCGTGAGTGGTAGTGCGGGTGTGGGTGCCGGTGAGTGTGTAGCTGTCGGTGCGGGCGCGGGTGTGGGTGCCGGTGAGGGTGTAGGTGCCGGTGGGGTGTGGGTGCCGGTGAGGGTGTAGCTGTCGGTGCGGGCGCGGGTGCCGGTGAGGGTGCAGGTGCAGTCGGGCGCAGTCAAACACGGGCAGCGTGGCTGCGTGCCGCCGTGCGAGGGCGAGCGCCAGCGGGCGCGGTCGGGCGCAGGTGAGGCCGCTCCGGCGCGGACGCCACGTACCCAGCACAGCGCCCAGCCGCGACTTGATGACGCCCTCCGTCTGCTGCAGCCAGCCGCCGGTGCAGCCCCCGTCCCGGAAGCGCGCCAGCAGCGGCGGCGAGCACAGCAGTGTGAACAGCAGCTGCGCCGTCAGCACCACCGTCGTCTGGTGCAGGTGCGCCTGCGGCAGCGGAGCACCCCGTCACCACCGCCGCACCAGCCGCCGGCGCCAGAACGCGGGCCGGCACCAGTGCGGCGACCGGTCACACACCACTGCTCGTGCACCGGTCAGCACCACTGGCGCGTCGTCAGCACTACTGAGAGGGACGAGCGGTCAGCACCACCGGTCGCGCACCGGTCAGCACCACTCGAGCGTCGTCAGCTCAACTGGGACGGGACGGGCGCTCAGCACCAATGGGACGGGACGGTCGGTCGGCACCAGTGGGACGGGACGGGCGGTCAGCACCAATGGGACGGGACGGTCGGTCGGCACCGATGGGACGGGACGGTCGGTCAGCACCAATGGGACGGGACGGTCGGTCGGCACCACTGGAGAGTCGTCAGCACCAATGGGGCAGGACGGGCGGTGAGCACCAATAGGACGGGACGGTCGGTCGGCACCACTGGAGCGTCGTCAGCACCACTGGGGCAGGACGGGCGGCCAGCACCACTGGTGCGCCGTCAGCACCACTGTGAGGGACGGGCGGCCAGCACCACTGGAGCGTCGTCAGCACCACTGTGAGGGACGGGCGGCCAGCACCACTGGAGCGCCGTCAGCACCACTGGGCAGGACGGGCGGTCAGCACCAATGGAACGGGACGGGCGGTCAGCACCACTGGAGCGCCGTCAGCACCACAGTGAGGGACGGGCGGTCAGCACTACTAGAGCGCCGTAGCACCACTGTGAGGGACAGGCGGCCAGCACCACTGCCGGCTCGATCCGCAGCGCCGGTCCAGCGCGCCCCGGCGACTCACCTGCAGGAGAGCAGCAGCCAGTCGTAGCCGAGGAGCGCCATCCAGTCATCGAGCCGGGCCGGGTCGGCCACGGCGGTCTTGCTCCGCCACGTTGGCCAGGATGCGCAGACACTTGTTACGCAGCAGGATGGTGTGGCGGGCGGCGGCGGCGGCCGGGTCCACGGCCGGCTCCACGCCCGACAACTCCAGACCGACTCCGGCGCGCCCGGCGCCGGCAGCGAGGCGGCCAGGAACTGGCCGAAGCTGCCGGGCCGGCACGAAGCGAGGCGTGAGACAGGCACGACAGGGGGTGCTGCTATAACAATTGCGCTATCAAACTGCGAGAATGCCACAAAGGCATGACTTGCGTTCCAATGCAAAAACAGGCCGACCAGCGCCGTTAGTCCCGGCCGGCGTCGGCGCCAGCGCCATGTATGGCTCACATGACGACGTCGCTCTTGCGGGGGCTGTTCATCAGCAGCACGGAGAGCAGCTTCAGCACCACCAGCTGCGTGTTGCGCGGCAGCTGGCAGTCCCGCAGCGTCTGCAGCAGCCTGGACGGCGGGGAGACACACACAGACGGCGGTCAGCGCAGCCGGCACCGGACGGTATCAGTCCGGGGGGGGGGGGGGGAGGGGACACCAGCCGAGCGGCGGCCAGACAGGGTGTCAGCCCGGGGGGAGGGGACACAGCCGAGCGGCGGCCAGACACGGTGTCAGTCCGGGGGGGATACCAGCCGAGCGGCGGCCAGACACGGTGTCAGTCCGGGGGAGGGGACACCAGCTGAGAGGCGGCCAGACACGGCAACGTGTCGAGAGAGGACCGAAGCCGCCGCACGAAACCACCGAACCCCCCGACATGCCGCCCGGGAACGACCCTGGACACGGCCACGCTGCCCCGGCCGTTGACAGCGGCCGGCCGGGAGGCGGCGCGCCTCCGCAGGCCCCCCGGAGGCCGCCCGGCTCACCTTGTAGTCATGCTGACGTCTCTCAGCACGGTCAGGTTGCCGCGCGCCTCCGCCGAGTCCGTCACCAGCTCCAGCAGGTGTTCGTACAGCGAGCGGCTCAGCTCCGCCGGAGCGTCGTTCCAAATCTGCGCGGTCAGGTCAGGTCAGGTCAGGTCAGGTCAGGTCAGGTCAGGTCAGGTCGGGTTATGTGACGGCACGACATGAGCTGTGCGCCGTATCAGATGGTCGATGATAACACAAAGGCCTGCATGCACTAACGTCGCTTCATGACCGGTGAAAATTTACGGCATACGCGCGATTCCAACACGGATCTTTGCTTCCAAAGGCCTGTAAGACGCCAACTGCTACGCTTTCGAGCCGGTTCTAAAATCTCATCACCTAGTACCTGAACACACGGGCCGCCTACTTCAGTGACCAGCTACCTACTTCAGGACAACAGGCACGCACAAAACCGTGACCCAGCGAAGTGACGTCCACACAGGCCGTTCCCAGCCAGCTTCTAACTTGGCGTGCACGCAACTGGTTGCATTGGTTGCACTGGTTGCACCCGCCCAAGCCTAAGCCCGAGCCCAAAGCAGCAGCTATCCCTTAGCCCCCTTTCCCTTAGCCTCCCCCCCCCCCCCAGGCCGGGGCCCATCCCCCACAAGGCCCGGGTCATCTCCCACGAGGTTCCGGTTATCCCCCACAGCGCCGGGATCACCCCTACGAGACCGGACCATTTCGTCCAAGGCCGGGCCGGGGCCGGCCGCTCACCGCCAGGTCGCAGAGCAGCTCGGTGAAGGCGGTGACGTTCGGTATGCCGCTGCTCTCGCGGCGCGCGTCCACCGTGCCCACCAGGCCGAACACCAGGTGCAGGATATGCGAGTTGAGCAGCGGCCGCTTCTGCTTCAGCAGCATCGCCAGCAGCTGGTAGCCGTGGCAGCGGTCCATCTCCATCTGGACTGAGGGCGGCCGGCGGCGGACAAATCAGATCCGGCGGCGCGCACCGGCTGTTCAAGCAGTCCGTGTGGAGCGACGTCAGCGCGTCTTGATCTGGTGGCCGCCGACTGCCCGGCCTTCTCCACGATGACTGCCTCCACATCCATCCACTAAACATCCATTTTAACCAATTCTTTGCTTCACTGACGCCTGAACACGGCGGTCATTTATGGCTATTTTATTATGGAAAATATTACTAACAAGACCGGCTCGCTCGCTCACCTGCCCGGTTGGTCTTGACTACACATGTGAGCGCCTTAACGCCGGCGTAAAGGCCCTCCACGTCGGCCGCCATGGCGATCAGGCCCAGCACCAGGCTCGTGCTGCCCACGTTCTCCACCATACGCGCCAC